TTCATGCTCCTTTTCAAACGGTTTTGGAGGATCTTGAAAGGTGGTTCTTGTGAAGGGGATAAATCAACTCTTCCTTTAGTTTCTAGTGCAGGAATTGCAGGCAACTGGATAATTTCATTGTAAATGGAACTGTAAAGTAAAAGGTGTTCAGCATAAACATTGAACTCCAGTTATGAGTACAAATTTCTTTAATCCTATATGAAATTTTCAGGAACAGGAAATTCCTAGAAAATAATTACGATATGCATAGAACTTTAAAAAAATCATTGTATAATTTCTGCTTATGAAACAAATTAATTATAATTGAATTTGAATTACTGCTTTTTTCTACTACTTTTATTCTACAATGGATATTTAAAATGGATATTACTCAGTGTGGTGCACAATTACTTAATGATACGCTAAGAAAGCTACAATTACTCTCCTAAATATTTTCCTATGTGCAGTAGTATCTGGTTTTAGCTACGAGGTAGATCATCGTCTGGAAGCTGGGGAAAATAAAAGGAGAAAAATGGAAACTTGCACATTTAGGACAAAGTTAAAATAATATGGAGGGAAGATGAATCTCCAGGGATCTGCTAGGAAATGAAAGTTAAAGTCATCTGGTTCCTTGTGCTCTGGAGATGTTGATTTATATCACGACCAGCGAGGTTGACAAGTGCAAACTTTTGCAATAGCAAAAGATTTCCTGGAAGGTCAGTGTGTTCTCTTTATTGTGAAATGGAAGGCAAGAAGAGTTAAAATAAAACCAGGGGAAGAGAGAAAGGACTTTTCCATGCTGGAGATAGGAGCCAGGTAGTCCCTGGCCGTTGTGATGCCTGAGCCTCCAGCACCCACCTCTGCCCTGGATATTGTTGGAGTGTCTTTGAGAAGGAGGTCCTGAGCCTGGTTTTATGGGCAGGCACCACACTGCATGGATTAGAAAATTCCTTGTCCAAGGGGAGAGGAAGGAAGAGCCTGGGAGTGGAGTCTGGTGTCACTCACAGTTCCTGTGGGACAGAGGAGGCCTCAGCCCAGGGTGTCTCACAGTGCCCAGTGCTGTCCTTTTCTTACGCATTAAATCACATCAAGTTTCAAGTTCAGGATCTGCAGGAAGAGTCGGGAAATACCTGAGTGTGCCCAGAAAGAGCAATGGAACCATCTGCTGCTCACAGCTCCAGCTGGTGTCCTAAAGGCATCTTTGAACATTTAGCCTGCTGGAGTTTCACCGGCAAACAGAAAATCCTGCAGGATTCAGTTTTTGGTGCCTGGGGATGGGCTTCCATGATTCATTCTGTGTCTGAGCTGCAGATAAACACATTCAGGCTTCTGCATGGAAAAATAGCTGGTTTTCTCCTGGCATTTCTTCAAGGGCTGTGTATTGAAACTCTGTTCCCAGAGGCTGTTTCATATTCCCTCTGCCACTGACACAGCACTGCACCCTCTGCTCCTGCTGCAAAGACTTGGGATGCCTGGAATCAGTGAGCTATAATCAGTGTGGGGCTTTTATCATCTTCTGTGGCCACCAGCCTGTGGTCCTGTCCTTGGGCTTCTCTCAGCAAAACAAGAAACTGGGAGGAAAAGGGAGGAATTTTCTCACATGCAATGCACACGTGTCTGCAAAATCCCAAGACAGCCTCATTTCAAATTTCTCCATACTGGTACATTCCCCAGCTCCTGATGTTCAGGTGCTTTTATAAAGACAATTTCCTCTCCAGCTCTCACTGTCTGTACCTGTGGTCACTAGTCCTGAGTAAATACAAGCAGAATTCAGGTGTTGAGGAGGGAACCCAGTACTCAGTGTTGGGCTGTGGATAGTGGGATTTGTGTTTTGAGGATCTATGGACCACCCAGTTCCTTGAGAGCGAGCAGTAAAACTCCCTCAAAGCCTGTCTGGGCTCGTTTTGGCCTAGAGAATACTTGTATATAGTAGTGGTTTCCTTTGTTTTTGTTTTGATGGTGATTATTATTTTTCCTGAATTAGGGCTACTGAGATAAATATTTAATTTCTAATGCTTTATTTTGTACATAATCAAGGATATCTGAAGCAGCACCTTAAACCTCAGTGTTACTCTCTCATTACTTTTTTTAATAGAGAAAAGCAGACGTTTTCAATACTTGGCAAAGCCACAGGGCTGAGGAGAGAACTGGCTGGGAAATTGGAAAAATGCTCAAATCTTTTTTGAAAAAATGCCAATGTCTATAATGCATTTTCAGTGAATGACTCAATTGGTTCTATTAAAGGAAAATATATAATGTTAATTCAGCCTAATATGGCTTATTCAACAGACAACTTGAACCTCTTCCTATTTTGCTTTCTTGCTGCTAATTATTGAATGGGATGTTTAATTATTTCTTTCCAGTAGTGGATACCAGTATAAATCAGGAGCAGTTCCTTTGATTTTGATGGTGATTTGTTTAAAATTAAGAAGGGTCAGACTCTTCTTAAGGAGGAAGGAAGGCGGTTCAAGTCAGTCAGAAGGAGACAGAATTTGATTTTGTATCTGAAATGGGTCATTCCTTCATTTGTGTGGACTTGAGCACATTTGCATTTGTCCTTCTATGTGTGTTCAGCCTCAACTTCTAGATATAATAAAGTATAGGAAAGTGTGGTGCAAATTTATTCTGCTTTGTCTGGAGAGAAAAGAATAACAGCATGGTATTTATTGACTTTACAGTCATCAAGTGGTATTTATTGACTTTGCAGCTCTTTTGAGACTAAAAAATAATAAATTATGTGGTTAAGTTTAGATGCTAAGATTAGATGCCACACATCCTCTCTGAGAACAGGGAGTGTCTTCTGTTGAAAGATTCAGAACATGACCCACTGTCCATGCAACAGTTAAAATGCAACATCCTTGTGTTACTTTGGAAAGCAAAAAACACATTGTTCTGAAGTTTTGCTTGCAAATCCTTTTCCAGATTGAAGATTGCTTCTCTTTTCCTCACTGCCTCTCATTTAATATGGATGCATTGTATGTAAAAGGGAGAAAATGTATACACAGTGGAGCAGAGGTGCAGGGAACACTGGGATCTTAGATGTGTGAACATAAAGGGGTGTGATGGGGTCTTGGGTGAATATCTGTATAATGCAGTCAGGGAGTAAGAGCTGCAAAGTGTACATCATCCCTGGGAAAAATAGCCTGCAAAATTCCACGGAGATGGCAGGTACATCCAGGTGGGACATGCACTGAGGTCACCCCGAGACCTGACTCCAGTAGGGCTCAACATCTCCTTCACCTCTCCTGGGAAACTCCTGCTCATTTTTCCCCTCTCAGACCTTCTGTTTCTTCCCTGTCTCTGTCAGCAGGAGCTGCTGACTGGGGAAGGTCATGGCATCCTCTCCACTGGAGGATTTTAAGGGCACAGAGTTGGATTAGGACCTCTGAGATGGTAATTGAGCCTAACTTGGCGCAGCAGCAGGCAGGGACTAGCTGACCTGTCACAGGCCCTCCCAACCCCATTTTGTCATCGCACAAGTATGGAGGAGGACAAAGCCCGAGGAAGAAAAATGTGCTGTAGCAAGTGGCTGCCAGGTCTGGGGGAGTGCAGGGTTGCCTGTGTGGTGTGGGGAGCAGGAGGTGCTGGCAGGAGCCCCTCGGGTGGCGGGCAGGGGATGCAGCCAGGGCGGGGAGGAGCCAGCCAAGGGCTGCAGCAACACATTCCATGATCTCAGTGAGAGAGGAAACAAGGACGTGGGTCATTAGTCAAAGCAGCACGTCAGGTCAAGGGTAGGAGAGGCTTGGTTTTAATTTATTTTAGAAAATAAATAATAAGAAGGCAAAAGCAGTGCATTTCATAGCATAGGAGGAAGGAGAACGTTGAGGGGATGGGAGTACAGCAAGGGGCTGCAAAAATAGGACAGGATCATGGAGGAGATTTGAACATAGGTCAGAGGCTAAAAGTAAATATTGAAACTTTGTTATTTGAAAGGTAGGAAAGGAAATTATTTCAGGAGATAAAAGGAAAGCCAGAGAGAGGATAGGAGAAATACTTGTCATATAAAATCAGGCTGAGTCATCCATTTCAGTACCTTTCTCTTAGCTGCAACTTAACATGTGAGATCCTGTGTGTTGAGACAGGTCAGGAGGGGAAGTAAGTTCTGGGTTTTTGTGGTGTGGGACAGGTGAGATTTGCATGCAGTTGACAGTAAGGAAAGGCATTTGGCTCAAAGAAATGGCAGAGACAGTAAAGGGACTTCAGAATCTGCCAGCTCTAGACAAAAGTGATGGGAAGTGAATGTTGGATGAACCAAGGATTGTGGATAGTCCAGCAGACTTCTGAGTCAAAATGTTGGACAGCACAACCCGAGTGAGGAAGATGAAAGCACAGGCAGAGGGAGGAGGAGGCTGACAACAGATCAGTCATCCTTGCTGAAAGACTGGGAGTCATGGAAAGGGTGAAGGACGGGGTGAGGTGATAAGGGCTGATGTTGAAATAAACCATGTGATGTGTCTTAGTGTTAAAATGGGTGTTTCTGTCATTGTCATTTCAGTTAATGCTGGCCCAAAGTGCTTCTGGTTCTCACCATGACTTGGGCACTTCCCAAGCCCTCTATTCCACATCACCAGAGCACTTTGCTGTCTCTGAGCTAATTATCTGTACAGCAGTATGGGTGGCAAGGAATTTCTATTCTGTAGGTAGTGAACTGAGGCATAAAGCAGAAGAGTATTTTCCTGCAGTCCCGCTACAAGTGGAGGTGAGACTTGAAGCCAAGGTTATCCAGTCCTCTATTAGCAGTTTAAACACTGACTCATCCTCCCTCTGATCCCCTTCCTTGAGCAGGAGCCACCTTCCAATCAAACTTTCCATGGAGAAATAAAGGGTTTTGGCCTATTCTAATGGTTTGTTTAGCGATGCAGAAATAAAATCGTATGTTACTTTTGACATTTTTATTATTGGGAAAAAATTAAGCCATAACTCCGTATCTGCTGGTTGATGCAGAGGGATATTGGAGAAGAGACTAACAGGGGTGCTGGTGAGAGTGGCCTTTCTCTGATGTGCTGTGATGTGTTTTGCAGATAAACCGTGGGAGCTGGTGTCCGCTGGAGCCATGTCCTGACCCCTCCCTGCTGGAGCGCAAGCGCACACGGGAGTCTCCAGGTGAGCCACACCAGCAGCGCTCCTCCCCACCTTTTCTGTCCTCCTGTCCTCCTCCCCACCTTTTCTATCCCTCCTTTCCTCCCTGTCCTGCCCAGCTTTTCTATTCCTCCTTTTCTCCCCGTCCTCCTCACCTTTTCTATCCTCCTTTCCTCCCTGTCCTCCTCATTTCTTCTATCCCTCCTTTCCTTCCTGTCCTCCCCACTTTTTCTATCCTCTGTTCCTCCCTGCTTTTGACATCCTGGCCATGATAGCCCTCCTCCTCACCTTTTCTATATCTCCTTTCCTCCCTGTCTTCCTCACCTTTTCTGTCCCTCCTTTCCTCCCTCTCCTCCTCCTCACCTTTTCTATCCCTCATTTTCTCCCTGTTCTCCTCACCTTTTCTATCCCCCTTTTCTCCCCATCCTCCTCACCTTTTCCATCCTCCTTTCCTCCCTGTCCTCCTCTCCACCTTTTCTATCCTCCTTTCCTCCCTGTCTTCCTCACCTTTTCTATCTCTCCTTTTCTCCCTATCATACTCACTTTTTCTATCCCTCCTTTCCTCCCTGTCCTCCTCACCTTTTCTATCCCTCCTTTTCTCCCTGTTTTTGACATCCTGGCCTGGATGGGGAAAACACATAAATTAAATAAACTGTGTAATGACTGTGCTGTGAGTCATTGTTAGCACATGGCTGCAGCACTTGACTAGCAGGGAGCTGTGTAGTGTGTCACCATCTCAAATAACTCTGCATTTCAAGTGCTTCAGTATTTTGATTTTTCCTCCCCTTTTCTTTTTCTAAATAAACTTGAAAGATGCTGCAAGCAGCGCACAGACATGGTTTCTAGCTGAAAGGATAATTTCGTAAAAGAAAAAAGCCAGAAATTTGAACTCCTAAAACCATAGTTAAACCCAAATGAGTGGCTTGAGATTTTTACTTTTTTTTCCCCCCTCCTGCTCTGAAAGTTGCCATGATTCCAGGCTCAGGAAGCAGGAAGGCTGTTCAGAGCCGTGGTTCCCACACCCTGCCCACCAGCTGTGCCAAGCTCCCATCCCAGCCCTGCGTGCTGGCTGGTGCTTTCTGGCTCTTCCACTGGGACACAAAATCTAGTCTGGGCAAGCTTCAAAGAAGGGTTGGTGTCCAAGATAAGAAAAAGAGCATTTCCTTTCACTGGATTATGCGTGTTAGAAACAAATAGAGTAATTGATCAGGGCCCTGAATAGGGACTTTGCTTAGGCTGCTCAGGGAGAGGAGGCTTCTTGCCCTGCTGTCCTTATGAGCAGTGGTCTCACCCAAATCTCCTTCAATTTATCTGAGACTTGAAAGAAAATGACTGAATGTCAGTCTGAAATTTAAACTCAGTCTGTCAGACTGTAGGCTAAGAAGGGATAGTTGTGGGTTAGTGACCTGAGGGGTTTATCCTAAATAGAAGTTCTAGCTCACTCAAAGTTAAATAAGTACATTTTTATTAAAAGCAAAAATACAGAAATAGCGATCTTTTTTAGAAAAATCATTAACAGCAATAGCTGTTTCGGGCGTGTTTTTACAAGAGAACCTGTGGTAGTGCTATGTCTCTTTACCAATTATATCTGTGAATCCTTTGCCTCTTGGTACAGTATTTTTATGCTTCAGGCAATAGTTACTGCAAACCGTTTGTCTGCTAAAGTACATGGACTCATTTGACTTGCCAAATATATAATCATGTATTCCTATGGATCACTATCAGTTGCACACCTATTAATTATCTAATGCACTATTACACTATAGAAACATAATATTAACTATGTAATTAGATAGCTGTATATACAAATTTATATTAATAGTTATAGTAATACATGCCTGTAACACAGACATGAAGAGATAGTTTTTTAAGTAAATGTGCTCTCCAGATGGACTGAGCAGCAGAAGGATCTCAGGTTATGCAGGTTCTGCCCTTTCTAGAAATAACATTGTTACTGCACAGGCATCCTCCTGCTGCTCTGTGGTGCTGGGCAGTGTAGAGAGGGCAAGAAAAATCTGGCAATGCTTAACAGCAATAAAACCATAAACTGTCAGTATGGCTAACTTAAAAATACAATACTTGATAAGGAATTAGACCTTTTTAATCTGCTGAAATGACTTGAAAGGACAGAGACCTCAGATCTTAGAAGGTAACTCCAGAAATTGGAGCTTTTCATTTTCTGTCTATGTTTTTGAAATTAGGCGTGCAGAGGAGTGTAGCAAATGCATAATTATCAGCATGGAATTGAAGGGCTCAGCCCTGGCTTGGAAGACAGAAGAGTTTGGAAAATGTACAGAAGATATTGCTTGGAAATGTTCTTCCTAGAGCTTTTTTCTCTGTATTTTTTTTTTTTTTTGCCTTTATATTATGCACAGAAGTGTTGCCAGGGGTGTGAGACACAGAGCCTGGCTTTGTGCAGCATCTGTGCAATTGAAAACAAACCCAGCAAACTGAGAAAAGGGGAGGGAGAAAACGGAGAAAATATGCACACCTCCAACCAAAAGTAAAGGAAAGAGAGGGCTTGGGAATGAGTTTCTCAGCACAAATGAGCTGAGGAGTGTGGAGGGGTCCCCATCACCCTGCTCCTCATCCTTCTTCCTCTCTGCTTCATCTCCTCCTCCTAAGGAGCTTTGCTGCCTCTCATGCTTTATCCTCAGGCTGAGGTATCCATGCACATCTGAGCTGTCCCCACTGATTTTCCAGTGGAACGTGGCTGGAGCCCCTTTGTTTTTCAGTCTGGGCTGTGGACATGCAGTGCTGGCTGCCAGCTGGATGAACAGCACCTGGCCCACGTCCCCACAGCCGCTCCGTCTCTTCTTTCCCTTCATTCCCCCCTTCTTCCCTCCCCTCCCTTCTCCCCCTCGGTGATGGAAAAGCAGTTCAGATTTTCCAGGTTTACTGAAAGGGGAACAGGAGCAGCTGCAGCATCCAATAAGTGCTTTTCCAACTCTCCACAGTGTGGAAATTCCTCTGTGGGGTAATGGGGTTTATGACTGGCTTCAACTCCCCCTGTCCTAAATGGGGTCAGCCCCACCACTATCAAAATAATTCTGTTTTCTCCAGAAGTGGAGTCACTGCCATCACTTGGGATGTGGCCAGGGTGTTCCATAGCTGCTGTCAGGCACAGATTAAGGATGGGGAAGGCAAAGAAGTGACCTTAAGCTACCAAACCTGTCGTGCTTTCAGTGATGTTTAAGCTTGATGTCACCAAGGATGGAGTTAGTGAGGTATAATTTAAGACTGAACTAATATTTTATTGCCCTGGCTCCTCTCCAGACAGCTGAGCACGGTTTTGGATCTGTTTAGTTAGAGGAGGTGCAAAATAGCACCTTTCTTTAAAAAAAAAAAAATGAACAAACTAAAAATTAGAAAATATTTTGAGCTGGGAAATTTGAGTGTTTAATTTTTGGCAAAATTGTGATTTATGCTTTTGCCTGAAGGATGAACAAGTAAAATATATACAGGCGTTTCTTAGGCAAATACTTGTCTGTTAAAGGTTTTGGAAAGAGGGCTTTTGCAGGGGCTGCAGTCTAGTTCTGTACTTCTGATTAACCCAGTGCAAACAGCTGGAAGCACTTGAGAAGAACAGAGATGCAACATGCTTATATTTCAATGTCAGGAGTTACAAAAGCTGAGAGGTTTTTTAAAAAATCACTTAATTTTTGAATCTTGAAAAAGTAAAGCTTGTCATGGAATTGACACTAGTGCTTTTGACGTAAGGAGTGTAGAAGAAGAAATGAAATAATTGTCCAAATATGCACTAAAAGCACTTTGGCATTTAGAGGGTATTGATTCTTTGAGAAAGAAAGTAAATATTGACAAGTTATATTTTTATATTTATTCAATATGAATCTAATGTTGCATTTGTTGAAATCTCTAGGAAACATCCCACATGCACTGTTATGGGATACCTCATACGTAACATATTTATCAGCACCTCAAGCTACAAGTGTTTTCAGCTGTTTCATGCAGAATTTCAGTTTGCACCATGTACTTCAATGATGCACTTAAAAAGGAGTTTTAAACTCTGGAATAAATCATTTGAGAATTCACAGGCAGTTTTGAGAGGTGAGCAGATGTATAAAGCTTTATTTGTAAAGCTGTGTGTTTTAAATCCTGGAATTCCCTGAGAGAATGTAGTCTGATGGTTTTACCAGTACTGAATCCAGGGGTAGAAATGCTAGTTATAGATACTTTTAATGACCACCAAAATAAATGTGTGGATGCTGCAGAAAGCCTCAGGTTGTGACTCTTTGTGCTTTGCTCCTGCAGAATGTGAGAACTTCTTGGAGGATGGGCTGAGCAGCGTCTGTGCCTCGTCACAGGGTGCTCTTAAAAGAGAGTCTGGGAGTGAGTCTGACCTCTTCCCCTTGCCTGGTGATGGGATGGAAGACCTTGTCTTTGGGAAGGTAAGAAAGCCTGGTTGGGATATGGTTAAAAAAGCCCCTGATAAACCCATGCAGCACACACAGATCATTTTGGTTTCTCTGGTGAGTTGGAAAGCTGGAAGCGATTATCCTGGAACTGAATAGATGGGAAGGATCCGGTCTCCTCCTTGGGTGCAGCAGCATGAGGGATGTATTTACCTGCAGCAGAATTCCAAAAGCTCTGCAGCCCCCAGTGGTTAAAAAAATGGAAGTAATTTTGTCTGTCCAAAAGTAAATCAGGCACCAGAGAAAGAGTTGAAAAGGTGGATTTTCTTGCAAGGTCATTAGGGATTGCACAGACGATATGAAATCCATCTTTAACTCATGTAACAAAATGCTTTTCTCCAGTAAACTGTGACCTCTGTGCTGATACCTTCAGATTTATATGCTGTAATTCTCAGAGGAACCAGTGTTTTTCTGTAAATTCAGTGTCATAGGAAGGAAACACTCATTCTAAATACTTCAGGCCAATTCCAGGGAATAGTTTTGTTGCCTAGGCAACGTACCTCTAATGCCTGTTTACGTGCAAGTGGAATGAAAGTGTTTTCAAGTTTGCTTAAAATCAACAACAGAAGTCATTGCTAACCTTAGTCATCCCTGTACCCTTTGTGTTGCTGAGGGAGGAGTGGGAGAGACCTGAGAGGCAGAGCTGAGCAGAGGATGTGCCTCCCTTTGGCATCATTTTTTTACATCTACGTCAGAGCAGCCTGAATTTGTTCAGGGGGTCGTTAGGTTTTTGCTCTTGCTGGTAATTTGTACTCTTCTTGGCATAAGCAGATGATGAAAAAGCAACCAGAAAGAATAAAGTGATGTAGAATCAAAAGGGATGTGACCCTTCTTTAGAGCAGCCATCACTGTGGTCTCCATGAAGTCCCATTCTTTGCTCCAGCTGCAGCTCACAGGTTTGGGCAGGCACAGCTCCTGCTCTGAAAAACATAACTCTCAGAGCAGCTTTCACACTGGCTTTCTGAGAAATGTATTGATTGAAACAGAGTTCTGTTTGCTGAAATCAAGTCAGATGCTGGTGAATATTTTCCAGCAGGATGGGAAACACCACAGCCCAGGCTGAGTGATCTCATGAGCTATAAATGAACAGTAAAGTCATCCTCCATGCACGTGGTAGGGCACAGAGCTCACCAGCCTCGCCCTTTCCCATCCGGCTGTCAGAAGGATCCGGGGCCCTGGGCTGTCAGGGGACAAGGCTGTTTGGCAGAGCAGGCTGTCTTCAGTTCCCCTGTGTAGAGTGTCACAGGCTGTGACAGGCAGCTGCCATTTGAGCCTGGGAGAGTGTGAGTATGGGAAAGTGAGGGAGAAGAGTGCAGTGGGAACACAGCAAAGTTTGTATTGTACAGAATTCTAGCTTTCCCCCTTTCTTATGTGGAAAGTTTCCTTCTTCAAATACGGGAAAGAAAGACTAAAATATAACCAGAGTAGGTAGTGCAGTGTAGCAGGGATGCCATAGGGAAGGGAGAAGGTGGTGGGGAAAGCAGGTCTTCAATTGCCAGTGGAGAGAGGGCAAAGGCAGGAGTTCTTTTCTTTGTAGAAAGGGAATTCCTTAATTTGGCAGCCTTTGCATTGTTCTCATCATGCAGTAGGTTGCAGACTTTGTCTTCAAATGGCTTCAGAAGGTCCCTGAGTTGAGTTTAGGAAGTTATTCAAAGCTAATCTCAACCTCAGTTGCTTTGTCTTCATTTTCCTGACCAATTTGATTCCTTGTCTTCTTTTCTCAGGATTTATCTGAGTATTTTTTCTACAGTTAAACTTACTTCTAAAAGACCAGAAGAACTAATTTAGTATGGCAAGCTTGTTCCTTAATTAAATCTTTTCTGGTTTTACAGTACTGAATACACATGGCAGAAATGCAAATTATAGATATTTTTAATACCCACCAAAATAAATGGCAGCTATAATCTCTTGTCTGAAAAAATAGTGTAACATGCTTGTCATGGCTGTATTTGATTATTTATAAACCTATGAAATAGTTTCTGTATCAAATTGGGAAGAGACAGAGTATGTTTATGAACATAAAGAGGATCTCAAACCTTTCAGTGTCATGGTGATTATTGTTATTACTAGTTCTGTTCTTGTTTCCCCTTTCTGTGGAGCAAGAGTTGAACTTTTGTCTACTAGAGTTGGTTTTTGTTTGTTTTTTTTTAATTGTAGAAATAACTCCTTCTTTGCTAACTGCTTAATGCATTAAAATAAATGTAGGGAGAACAAGTTGCTGTCTGTGCAAGGTCTTTGGGCTGCTTCCACTTGAAATGCATTGACTGAAAGCCCTGGTTCTGTCCCAAAACCATGAAGAATTGGGGTCTGTGGGGTCACAAAATCTGCAAGTGCCTTACCCTGTCCCTGGTGTTTGGTGTGTGCTCCTCTCCCATCTCCTTCCCTTCTCCTGTGCTTGTTGCATTTCTTTTTCTCTTGAGGACATGTGCTGAGCTGTGGAATAGGAGCTGTCAGCTTCAGGGAGCTTTAACACTAGAACCTGCCCTTTTTTCAGAATATACAGGCTATCACTGAGATTCAGAAGTTGCTTCCAAGTCTATGGCTTCAGCAAAATGTTTATTTTATTTTTTTTGCGTCAGCACTTCATTCCCATGTCCTCATCATCCTGCTTTTCCCTCTCTGTCCCAGACAGCCATCTGGGCAGGCTTTGCAGCATCCTCCTTCTGGTATGATTAATGCTGCATAAGGTCATTTCTCACAATCATCTGGCAACATCCTGGGGTGGAGCCCATGTGCTTTGCTCATCTTTAACTTTCAACCAGCCACCAAAGTTCCAGCTTTACTGGGAAGCTTTTTAATGTGCCTCTTGGGAAATGATTCAGATGAAGGGAGTCAGGGACCCACAGATCGTTGTCAAAGGAAGGGGTTGCAGCTCAGAGTCTTGAATGTTGTTTAATTTCTGCCTTTGTTTTGGTTTGCTCTGAGAAAATACTCAAATACATAAAAGTTTTGCATTTATTTTTGCAGAGTTGTTGTATCTCTTAAAAAAAAAAAAAGGCAAACAAAAAAAAATCCCCAACAACTGTGCAAAAAAAGAAACAAACCCAAAGGAATAAAACTTTTAAGGGAGAGGCTTTCACGTCTACTCCAAATCATAAAAGTTATGATAAATACTTTGTAGAAGGCCACTGTTGAGGTGAATTTTAGGGAACCTAAAACCATAGGCAAATCCAAATTAAAAAATTACTCTGCTCAATTATATATCAAGCCAACTAAAGGTGTTGATTCCTTTAGTGGAATGGTATTCCAAATAAACTTCAGGATTACATGGTTCAATTTTTTCATCTTATTTTTTAAAATACCCTAACACCTTTAATGTCTTTGAAGCTCAGGGGACAGAGAAAGTTTGTGTCTCAGCACTTTGCATGTTGTGATCATGGAAATTATAGAAAGAACATTTGAATTCCCCTTATCAAGACCTCCTACAGTGGAGGAATTTAGTTGAAAAAGTTATCTTTTACCCCCACCATCCCAGTGATTTCTGTTATGCATGGAGAAGTACATGTGTCTTTTCTAGAATACTCACTTTTACACCTTATCTTATTTTTTCTTAGAAGCTTCTCAGCAAATACTGAGGGCAAAGAAAATGCCTATTAGCAAATGTCTGTAAAGGCTCTTTTTGGCCACAGTTAAGTCCTAAATTCATTGAGGTGCAATCCAGCATGCCTAACTTGAAGAAAGTTAGTATTTCTGTAATGTTTCTTTTTTTCTGTAAGAAAAGAACACGTTCTGTTCTGCAAACATGGTATTTTCTTACTCAAATAGGATTAAAGAACAATGCATATTTACTGGCCAGATAGCCAATTTTTTTGCAGTGGTGACTACAATATAGATGTTTTAGATGTGTCAGCCACACTTGGCATTTTTCAGACAGAGTCGTCTTTCACATTAACTGTTTTCCTTTGTTTAAAAAAAAAAAATCATTGAAATGACGGCAGAATATTTTTAGAAGAATAAGCATGGGCCATGAGTTCAAGGGAATTGTGCATTGTGTTCTGTCGTCAGTCGAATGCTCAAGGTAAAAGTTAAAATGGAAAGTTAAAATTGATCAAATGTATTTCCCCTTTTCCAGACATCTCCTTGAGCTGCATTTTCCGATAAAAGCCCTAAATCTTCCTTGTTAGGGAAGTGGGTTTTGTTGTGCGGCAGTATTCTCATCTGGGAAATAAAAATTCCTCTTTTTACTCTAATTCCTCTCTAGTTAATTTGGTGTTCTGCACTATTGTTTTTAGATTCGCATCCAGATTGAAAGTTTCCAAACTCTCCCATGCTTCACACAGCTGCTGGGGTGAAGTCAGTCCTGTCCTCTCCTGCTCTGCTGCCCCAATCCCAGAATCACAGAAGGGACCTTAAAGCTCCTCTTGTTCCAAACCCCACAACACCTTCCACCAGACCAGGTTGCTCCAAAGCACCATCCAGTCTGATCTAATGTCTGACAGTATTTTTCTATCTTAGAAAAGTGGCAGACTGTTTCCTCCACTGTAGGAGTGTTATCCACATAATGACTGCTTGATTTGTCTGTGTTTAAGCAATTCAGTAAGCTCTCATCGTGACTCACACAAATATCAGATTGTCTTGAATACTGCTGAACATCATCAGAAACTTCTCAGGGCTTCCATTTCAGCTCTCTTTTCTTTAAGCCTCAGCTTCCTATTCAAATGTATCAAATCCATAGTTCACTAGTTTACAGAACACAGTCTTCTGAAATTCACTGTTAGTATTTGACATAGCTTAAGGTGAAGTGAATGTTTTTGGAGGAATGTATTTTTAGTGTGTTTTTTAATGTTTTGTGTTTAAAAGGTTCTTGTATTTTGGTGTTGTGCTGTGGATGCTGTTTTGTTTTCCTTTTTTCCTCTGTTTCCCTTTGATGGATGTGGGAGGGGAAGCAGTGTGACAGCATTTAGTTAAACCATCTCACGAACATTCTTGTGTACCTGTTAAACTGAACCAAGAATAAAAAATAGCTAAGCTTGAAACAGGGCTTCTCTCTGAATAGTGAAATATTCAATTAGAAGATATTTTGAATATCTCAGTTTCTTTTTGTTCAGTCAAATAAAAAGCTGATAGCTTTTAGTGTGTGCCCCCAAATAAAGCACAGAAAAACAAAAGTCTCTGGACTGTTTAACACCACTCCTGCTCATCCTTCCCTCCATGTGGTCTGATGCCCATCTTTCCCTTCCAAGAACAGATTTTGCATCCAGTTTTCTTCTGCCAAATGCTTGCTGACAGCCTGCAGCCCCTGGGGCACTCAGCTCCTGCCCAGCCCCCTGAGCCCACTGTGTGAGCACAATTAACCACCAGGGCTTTGCTGACTGCCCTGTGGTGTATGGCCTGACAGAGCACTCTGCCTGTTATTGTTTTAAATGATACAGGGCTCTGCAGCAGGATAAATTGAAACTTCCCATGTCAGTCCCTCAGGGCAAACACCATTTCAGACTGGAGGTGATGTCAGAGAGATGCTTGTGTTTTTTACAGTGGCCACAGGGAACGAGATACCTTCTGGGGCTGATTGGTCAGCATGTGGCCTCTGGCCAGAGAGAGCCAGTTTGGCTTCTGCATACTGCTCTTGGAGCAAACTAAACCCCAAAATTACAGCATGACTCAAAATCTCTAATACAGGGCAGCAGTTCCTGTAGAACAATATTTTTCAGTGACAGTTGGATTTGAAAAATGCTGCAAACCCTGGTATTAACTTTCTGCTTAATGGAAAGTAATTGGGGATGGGGAATTATGCTTATATTTTTTTCTGTTTGTTTTCTTCTGCTGAGTAATTCTCCTTTTTGTGTTGCATGGTGCAGTGGAACAGTGTGCTGCCCTTGAGCTCTACAAGCCCATCCCAGTCCCACAGGAGAGGCTGGAATTTGTCATCAGGAGTTGTGATAACCCCCTTCCCCATTACTTGCTCTCAGTAAACCTTTGGCAGTTTTATGGCACCTTGATTGATAGCAGGTTTAGCCAGAAATGGGGAGAGGAACAGGATTTGCTGTGCAGGATGAAATATCGAATTGGGGAGAGGAAGGCAGGCAGAGGATCTGAGCTGGGTAATGGCAGCCAGGGTGGAAGAGATCACTCTGCAGAGCATTTCAACCTCTTTTGAAACCAGAGCAAAAAGTCTCAGTTCTATGATGGTTAATTTGCCATCAACTGAGCAATCTCTCAGCTCGTGTGAAATACAAAATATTTGCATTCACTTAAAATGTTAAATGTATTCACTTCATTGGAAGTGTTCAGGACCAGGCTGGATGTGTCTCTGAACTACCTGATCTGGTGAACCATGTCCCTGCCCACAGCAGGGGTGTTGGACTAGCTGATCTTTAGAGGTCATCTTTATAGATCTTCCAGCCCAAACCAGTCCATGATTCTACTTTAAATTACTTTGAATTTTTCTCACCCCAGCAGCCTGAAGAGGAGCAGTCTGCCTGCGATGTCACCAGCTCCAGCTCCTCTGCAGACGACACCGTGTCCCTGGAGAGGAACTCATCCCTGGGCAGCGACACGTCCCTCCCCTTCCCACCCGTGGGGAGCTTCGCCCAGCCCAAGGACAGGCACAGCCTGGATGGCAGCTGCACCAACATGGTGTGCTCAGAGGGAGGAGAGAAGGAAGAGGAGCTGGACAGCATCACGGACGTGCCCACGCCCTCGTCCGTCCTGCGCGGCTCCATGCGGCCGCTGTCCCCTTTCCGCCGGCACAGCTGGGGGCCCGGCAAGAATGCCACCAACGAGGCAGAAATCAATCAGAGGAGGTGAGTGAGGAGCTGCTTTGATTTGCTCTGCACCCACTCATGCATATTTATCTGAGCTGTAAAGCTGGAGTGATAAAACTGAAGAGTTTATCGCGTCACTTTTGATTATTTCTTTTTCGGTTTGAAGAGGTTAAGACAATCTCCTAATGTATGTTTGTTTGGTTTTTCTTAAATTAACTTTCAGGATTAAAGTACTTAATACCTACAGTATGCTTGAGCTTTCCAGAGTAAATGGAATTACCTCAGGACAGGTCTTCCATTAGAACTGTCACCACCCCTTTCTGTACAAAGGAATTATTGGAGTGTTAAATGTCACTGACCACAGAATAAACATGAACATTGTTGCTCTGATTGTATTAAGGGATAACACAGGCACCAGGGTTTTAAAAAATTCTGTAAAAGCTCTTCATAATGGTGAGATGGGTCCTCTCTGTTTCACAGAATTGGTTCCCCCTCAGTCCCTCATGTACAGTAAGTTCCACCTAACTCATCACTGCTGTCCCTGGGGTTGTTCAGGAAGATTTGAAGGAGAAGTTTTCCCTTCTGTTCTTTCAGAAGGTACAAGGGGCAGAGGTGTACAAGCCATGTGAGTGTGTCCATGCTGGTGCCAAATGACTGTGGGAAGAAAAGTTGCTCAGTCTCCCATTTCAGTGGGGAAGGAGATGAAATAAAGGAAGATACACACCAAAAAGTAGTAATTGGTGTGAGGTTCCCTGCCATGCCGTGCACTGTTCAGCATTTGGGCTGCAGGATGCTTGGGGCCAAACCCTGTGTATTCTGAGCCCAGTGGAGGTTTGGCCAGTGTTTTTAATATGCTTTAATGCTCTCAGAGCAGCCAGTTGCTTTAGCAGGGTCAGGGTGCCATATCCTCCCTACAGCTCACAGAGGCTGCTGCCCCAGGTGTGCAGGGCAGTGCCACTCTCTGGCTGCCTGTTGTGTCATGGCAAACATTCTGCTGTGAACAGAAACAGAGCCATTGCATGTGGGGCTGGATGGCATTAAATTAAATCTCACCACTCACAACGGGTTCCTGAAAATTCTGACCCCTTTGGATAGTCCAGGGAGAGGCGGCAGCCTCCCATCAGGAATGTATGCATCCTTTACACACAGCAGCTGTGGGTATCACTAAAGGATAGTAATTAATTATTATCACCTTCAGGTTTTAAAGTAAATGTTGAAAACCATTCAGGATTTTCTAAGTAACATACAGTGAAAGCGTTGTTTTTGTTGTTTAACACTGTCACCTTTTTTGGGCTTCATTCCTGGTCCCCAGGTAGTATTTAAATAAGTTAAGAAATCCTCATCAATTTTTAAAAGCAACAAAAGACTTAGCATACCTGCATGTTTATGACATAATGAGTCCATAAGCTCATAAACTCATTTGGGGAGATTTATTTTTAAGTGTAGGGCCTGATGCATAAAGATTTCTGGGGGTAATAAACTGCAAAGCTGGCAATCACTGCTAACACTGAACAGATGAGGTTAAATTCTCCTGCATCCCATTTTGGAGGCTGTTTCTGATATGGGAAAATACATTCACTGTAAGTGTAAGAAAATCTGAGTTAAAGGAGCAGTAATTCTTCTCATATGTTCTTACATTCAGCTGCAGCTACATAAGGATAGCTGTCATGTAGGGTAATTAAAAAAGAAAAGCTGGGTGGGTCTGTGGTGCTGATTAGATTCATGTTTGTTTTTATGCTTCTTTTAGAAAGGAATTTGGATTATTTGCTGTGTTGTTTTGTTCTTTTCTTTGTTCTTTTCATATGTGGCTGTTGTGATGTTGAGACTCTCTCGTTGCTTAGTGAGAAACAACAAATACTGAGGAAGGGAAGGGCTAACAAGTGACTTTCACTCAAATCAGTTGAATTCTGAGTGTTTGCTTATTCATTTATTTCACATGCAGTAGATGCTTTTCCAGTAGAAGGGGAAAAGTCCTTATTGCAACTTGACTTTTGCAAACCTTTGAAGTGGTGTAGCACTGAGCGCAAGCCTTGGCTGAGGTTTGTCCTGCTGATGGGCAAGGTCTGTGCTGCTCCCACCACCCTCTGTGCTCCCTCCCCTCCTCTGGGCACCCATGGCACTTCTCTGCTCTGTAGGCGAGCAGCTTGCCCTCACTAAATGAGGAGAAAAAGAACCAAATAAAGTGTAATTGCCACCAGAACCAGCCCAGGGATCAGAGCTGGGCTGTGCAGCCAGGAGGAGGAATGGGGTGACAGTGCACCATCAGCTGAGCTCTGAGAGATGCTTCCTGCCGCAGCAATGATTTGCTGCCCCTGCCCACAGCAAAAATAGTCCAGACTTGGATTACGAAGATAGCTAAGTCAAGTTTAGATAGAGGACCCAAAAAGCCTACAGAAAAAAAAATCAACTTTTTGTAAAATGTGATATTTTCCCACTGTTATGTGTTTTCTGTTTGTGAAAGGGATGAGTGTAAAAGTTTGTTCACAGAAAAGATAATGAAAAAAAACCAAAAATATGAAAAGATGCTCAGTTCCCCTTTGTTTCCCATCTCTCCTAAAATGCACTTCGCAGATAATCCTCCTGTCTGCATTTTGCTATTAAAAATACAAAGAAAACCAACAAGGCAGCACAAAAGGATGTTCATCCTTCAGTTAATTCCTGACATTCATAGCAGATTTGAAATGCCTGTCTTTCAACAAAGCTTCAGTATGTGTTAAATGTCCAGGCTGGGCAAAGGAACACCCTCATGTTTCACTGATGGATTAAGCACTGCAGAACTGGAGCTGCTGTTAATCACTATTGCTAACAGCTTCTGTCAAAGTGTTTGGCCTCATCTAAACTTTAAACTGACCTGGCTTTGGCAGCAGCAAAGTTGCAACATGGTCAATACCTGTGCAGCCTTCTTTCTGTACAAAATAAAACCAACCAAAGCCCAGATTTATTTGTAGAAGAGAGGAGAAAGACAGAGGCTCATTACTTCCTTTCATATTCCATTTTGTGTTTTCCCTGTATGTCCATTCCCTCTGTCTGTGTGTTGAGGATATTATTCCTTTAGCTGCCATTTGTTAAGTTTTGTTTTTCATTCAAGCTGCTGACCATTCTCCATGATTCATTTTCAGTTCAATGCGAATTCTGGGGGATGGTATAAAGAAGCCTCCCATTCATAGGAGAAGGTACAAAGCCAACTAATGTGACTAACTGTTTTGTGTTTGAATGTCTACTAACTCCATCTTCTGATGTTAGTAAACCTGTAGTACCTCTGGAAGTGTTGGCATTGGAGCTGTGCATCCCACCTGGCTGCTTTCTCTCTCCAGTCTGACCCATGGGCCCCACAGAGCCCATGCTTGAGCTGTTTTCTCCAGGACATTGTGTTAATAATGAAGAGAAATCTCAGATATTATTTTGTTGGCCTTTGCCATGTGTAAGATTTGGAGTTGGCTAGGGCAGTGGTTTACCTGGGAGCATGTGTGTGATTTGGATTTAAAGCACATCAGAGACTCCTGGCAAGACTTGCAGGAGGGGCAGCTGGGAGAAGGGATGGGTCAGACACGATCTCAGAGTTGGAGAACATTCTGCAGATCTGCAGCTGGTTCAATTAAATGGCTTTAATTTTGCTCTTTTGATGGTTTTTATAACCATCTTCCTAAAAAATAGAAAATACGGTGTGTTTTTCTCTTTGCTTCCATGTGTTTTTCCTCTCTAAGAAACTTTCAGTTTCTCATCCATCCCACAGATACACAGTTCCACTCATGTTACCTTTGCATCGACTATTAGCAAATAAAAAAGGATACTTAATTTTTGACACAGCAGGTGTGGACTGTCCACACATAGAGATTTTAGGCTAAAGAAAAAAGAGAAGTTGAACTTCTGTCCTTCAGTGGTTCAAGCTTGTCTCACCTCCCATAGCCTGTTACTTCCCCTCCTGTGCCAGGTTAGCTTGGGATTTCACTTCAGCTGAAATATGGATGGGGTGTTGTGTGTGTAAACAAGCTACCACATTCCCACATGTGAAAAGAATGCTACCATGATGTTATGACCAAAAAAATCAGCATCAATGAAACCCAGCAGCACTGTACAGTTCAAAAGAACATTCTTAGAAAAGAATTTTTTTAAAAAAAGGCACAAGGAAGAACATGCTATTTTACTTCTAAGAAGCCTCTTCATTTGCACCACTGCAGGAAGCAGTGCAGTGCTTGACTTCTCAGCTCATGCAAATGTTCCTATTTTTATCAGTGTTCTATTAAGGCTTCTCTGTAGGAGCTGTGTTATTATTTAGAGTCAAAATATCTGAAACACTGAGCTTACATGTAGAATAAAGAAAACATCTAGAATACCTAGTCATATCTGAAATGTGTGATAATCCTTTCATAAAGACTTTCTCACTTTTTATGGTCTCTAAACCATGTTGGAATCATCCTCTCTAACCCCACTTGTGGAGCAGGAGCCTGAAACTGATTCCAGCTGTTCATGCTCTCCCACAAGGCTGGTGTAGATAAAAGCTCCTTCTCCTCCTCCCCAAGCTATCTTCTGTAAAGGGTTTTTTTGCATGCTCTGCATTGATCTTTTTAGGATTTTAGGGTGTTGCCAACAGGCTGTGGGTGGCTCCCCCACAGGACTGTGTTTCTGCAAGAGTGCTTTCCACAGCCTTTGCCAACAGATCCCCTTCCTTCCTTCTCTGAGATCTCAGCACTTCCAGGCTTCCTCCTACATATGCAGGGCTCCTCTTCTTCCCTCCCCTGCAGTTTTAGCGTTGGGATCATCTCCATAACACAGCAGTGGTCAGGAATAGAAGCATCTTTTAAAGTGTAGTGTAAACATTACATGATTAATGAAGAGAATCTTCTTTCCTTCGATTGAAAAGGGACCACACAAAAATGAGTGGCTTTGAAAAGCAAGGTGACATCAGGATATCTCAAAGGGTCCACCAAGCTCAGTGCTCTTGTGGCCACAAGCAGATGGCCTGGGGAATCATGTGTGACACCTTCCTTGGGATGCTTCCTCTGCTGCCCCTGAGCACATCTGAGTGACCCTCTGGGAGGCTGAACCCAGGCCTGAGAGTGCAGGTTGTGTGTGATGCAGGTGGATTTCCTGTGGCCTGAACTTGGTTCCTCTAGATTTTACACAAGTATTTTAGTCCCTGCCATCCCCCACCAATAGTTAAACATCTGCCATTGTGGTTGGAGTGGGTGAGGATGATGAAGTACTTGGAAATATTGGCATGTTATGGGAAGGAATGTTTTCATGAAGAATGTTTGTAGTACTGTGCTGAGAGCTCCAGGTGAAGCACACCTTTTGGGTGTGTCCTCACCCAGTTAACATCCTTTATAAAACAGGCAGCAGTTACCTGAACTCTGCCATTAAACACCCATCCAGAATGTTTCCAATTGTCAAACCCTTCCAGAATGTTTCCAGTGTTGCAGTGAGTGTGGAAACAACATGAGATGGCATGACATGATGCATTCAGTGGGTTTAAATCTTTGTCTGTGCCCTCAGAGGCTTCTGGCACTCACAGTTCCTTGTCCAGGAAGGCTTAAATTTGTTCTGCCCTTTTCACAGGCTCCTGTCATGGAGCAAAGCATGTTCTGGCCATGTCCCCTCCTTGCATGGATCTCAGACCAGGACCTGGGAGCAGGGCTTGTGCTTAGGCAAAATTCCCTTCAGACAATGCATGCTTCCTGAACAGCATTTTCAGGATTTAGAGATCATATAAATGTCATAGCTGACAAGAAGATGGATTTCTCTGTTTCTGCAAAACCTGCAATTGGGCCATGAGCTAACAGAGAAAAAATAACAAAAACAGTCTAAAATAACCAAAATATTTGCATTCTGTATTTGCATTTCTTATGTCTTTCGTGATGCAACTTTGGGACTCTTTTGGGGAATGGGAGCTGAAAGGTTTTTTAGTTAGTAGCACTCTTGATTTAATCCCAAGTTAATAGTAAGATTAGCCTGTTTTTTTCTTCCAGCCTCTTTCACTGACTGTGAAAGACTGTGCAGCATTTAAGAATGTCTCTTTCTCCTTATTTATCCAAGCCTAGCCTGAGGTTATTAATATTTCTATGGAGGGGGCTTACACTGTGAAATATCTGTAAGGGATTCTTTTTCTGATTTGAGAATGAGAGCTCCCAGGAAAATACTAATAATTACTAACACAATGGTTGTGTGTGATTACTTGCAAATTGGCTTTGGTATATTTTAGCCTTGTTTTTCCCAAAAACCTTCTTCTCCACAAGGAGTACTTTTCCCACTACATTGTATACTCACTGATGGGGTCAGTTTGGGGGAAGTGTGAACTGTCCTGCTGCCTGTTCAGTGGTAACCTCGGGCATTTGGGGCACTGTGGTGTGTTTGTTCAACCAGACATGTGCCACTGCATTATTTCTGAGTTTGTTGGTTTTTTTTTTTAAGGTATGTGAGAGTGAGAGTCTTTTAACATCCCCCATGTTCCATATCAATCCGATAATCACTGCCCTTTTCCTTTCTTTGCCTCTTTTGCTGTTCCTAGTTTGAGCTGGTGTCCCTCAGGCGTACAGTACCTTGCCATGGGTCCTGACTTTACTTGTAGAAGGTATGGTATGAATAAATGTGCAGCAGCACAGGAGCTCTGCAAACACCCCTGTCGTCAGCTTCTCGTGCGTCCTGCACTGCTGCTCTGGCTGAAGCGCGCACGTGTTTGTTTGCTTGGTCTGCTTTTTCAGCAATTACTCGTGGGAGTGGAGCCTCAGGGCTGGGCTGCAGGTGGAGGTGGTGGCTGCTTTTCCCTGGCCTCTGGCAGTGAAGAGGCTGCACTGTTGGGTTGAGCTGCTCTGCTCCGTGATGGCTTCGAGCCGCGGTTTTTTTCTGCAACAGTGATCAGAATGATAATTGTGACAGCAGCAAAGAATCAAAGCAAGATTTAATATGATTCAGCACTTCTCTGTACCAGATCAATCTCATAAAGGGTTTAAATTCACACAGACTTGCTCTCTGTAGATTGAAAGATATCGGCTTTTCTTCAAGGAGACTAAATCATGTAAAACCTTCCCTGAAAAAAACAATCTGAACGCCACAGATGAAAATTTCCCAGATTCTTAAAGTTTGCATCTTCTGTAGAAAGTCCCAGCACTGATATTGGTGCTTGCAGGTCACTTCTTTACCCAATATTGTTTGGAAGCCAGCCCCCCAGATTTTATGGCTTTATAGCTTTTCTCTAGCAGTTTTTGCTGGGTGGGTAGAGCTATTAAAACTCTTTTTCTGAAGAGTAGATATTGAGAAGGAAATCTGCCCTTCATGGACAGTTAATTATGTTTGGTGTATGTGTGCCAATCAGCAAATTACAGACTAGTATCACTGATAACTATTTTATGGGCTAACATTTGCAGGTTTTAGCTAGTTTTTTCACAAGTACATGATTTTTTTTTTCTCTACTGTGTAGCATCATTATTGCCACCTTGGAATGTAGAAAGGAGATATTCTTCCATCCTAAATAATTAGTAGAAATTGGACTGATTTCTACCTACAGGTGTTTTAGAATAAACTTTTAAATGCCTGCTGTTGATACACATTGATGAGCCACAATTTTCCTAAAGCAGATTAAATTATAAATGCTTCAACCAGTCTTTTTTCTCATTAATTACCATGAAAAAAAGGTTTTTTAAATTACTAAATCTTCTTATTCATGGTTTATTGCAGTTTTTGCTTTCAAGGTGCATATTTATGAGCCTTGTAATGCTTCTAAGGGACTGCAGAACATTAATCACGGCTATACAAGTCTACCTGAATTTAAAGTTCCTTTGGTTGTTTAAATCATCTGTACAGCCTGTAGTACGTTTTCTTTTTCATGTGTTTCATGTCAGCTTGTTCACCACAGACATCATGATTAGCCTCAGGTTGGGATATAAATCCAGGGTAGGGCTGGCACTTAGTGAGTATCAAATCCAACATTGGCCATGGATCTGTGCTGCTGTCCTGGGAGGAGAATCTGCAAAGCTTCACCCAGTGAACCCACACTGGCATTTCAGTGGGTTTGTTGATGCTTGGGTATGAGGAGCAGGAGGGTCAGAAGCAGAATATTAGAGCGAGATTTATCAGATTAAATAGTCCCATGTGAGACAGGATGTGTTTTGTATAGGTAAGAGGAGAGTGTCACTTTTCTTATCAGCACCTGTCTCTACAGAGTTTGGCCAGATGTTTTATTTCTAACAGTTCTTCAAGCAGAAGTTTAGTAATTTATTTAGCTTTGAGTTATTGCCCAGCTCTGCTGAGCAAGACCTAGCTCCCTCAATAGATGATGAAATAAAATTGATTGGGTGATGGAAACAACATTTATTGAACTTAAAAACAAAACCACAGCATGGGTAAAAGAGAAGCCACCTTTGGCAGAATAAATGACGTTATCAGTGGCAAAACTGTGCAGTGTCAGGATTTAAAATAGATTCAGAGGATGTGGCTGCAGAGATGAGTGTTACAGCAGCTGATGTGGCTGCTGGGAGGGGTATTGGTCCAGGACAGGCAGCACCTGGTAGTTTGATTTGGGTGGCTTTATTCCAAGGGAGAGCCTGATAAAAACCTATCAAAGAGAATATGTGGAAATGCCAAAAATCTTTAGAAGCGGTGTTTCTGGGTTTTCCTGTGCACCACTCAAAAAGAGTAAAAAAAAAAACAGTAGGAAAGGCAATTGACCAGGAGTTTCAATGGTTGTTCAAGCAATGAACAAACCTTTCTGTCTCATTAGCAGCACAAAGATGTTGCTATTTGCTCTGAAGAAAAAAGAACATGCTGAGGAGTAACACCTGCCTTTGCCTGCACACTTCAGTGCCTGCTCTGTGTTTTATGTTTGCAGGTGCTCTGTGCTGACAGGCCTGGTCCCTGAGAGTTTGGCAGCACCTGACCTCTGTGCTTTCTCTTTAGTTACAGCCTAGAAGGCCTTACTGGGGACTCTGGTGAGAACAAGAAGCCCTCTGCAAACCTGGAGGCTTCTTCCCTGAGCTCCAAAGACCTCAGGAGGAGTCCCCTTGCCAGCAATCAGTCCCTGGTGCTGCTCTCTGAGGAGCTCGAGCAAGGAGAAATCAGAGACTACAACCACCAGGTAAAGCTACTGTTAGGAAATAGTACATCAACATTTTGGAAGTCATTTTCCCAAGTGACAGTCTCACAAAGGCTTCCACCTTATATGTACATATACGTAATATTAAAAATCTTTCATCTTTAACATGGAGAAATCTCCAACTATTTTAAATTTTCTACTTCATTCATTGCAGCAACACAACACTTGTGTCTTCTCTTGCTTAGAGGAATGGCATTTTGGGGGAACAAACTGCTAAGCATCAGATTTTTTTTTTGTCATATTGAGCCACAGCCTAGTTTTGCTGAAGAATTGGAGTCACAACAACAATTTCCATGGCCATCAGAGAGTTTTAACAATATTTGATTTTTAATGCCTTGCAAGAAAATCAAGCACACATAGTCTCTGTGTTGCATAATTAGTTGTCTGACACTTAAGAGGCAAAACAAAATGTTGCATTTCACCTGAGTACTGTTTCGCTGTTTCAAAGTGAGAGTTGCCGTAAGCATGAGCCCTGAGCTGGGGTCTGAAGCTGGGATGGTTCTGTCATTCCTGACATATTCAGCATGGTTCTGTCCTGTTCTGCAGGTGCATCAGACATCACAGCCACAAGGATTTAACTTCTGCACTTCTGTTGCTTCATCTCCGCTGACCAAATCCATGTCTCTAATGTCAATTAGCAAACCAGTGCTCGACAGTGAGTAATCCAGTTTTCCCTTATCCACTCTGTCATCTCTATAATTTGGTATATCTTGCTTTCTTCCCAAGGCAAAATGTGCTCCTGCCCGCCCCTGCTTCCTTTATTACATGAAGTACATGTTTCACTGCTGCATGGAATTGTGGGTGGATAGGCAGAATTCATTCAGTTTAGTTTTGTTCTTCCCAGTGTATCCCTGCTATTTTCTTTCTGTTAGGCTTCCTTTGTGTGGGTTATTTTTTTCTTTCTAAATTAGACTATTGCTATGGAAACTATGATTTATTGAGTTTGTTAAGTAAAAAACAAGGATCTCATTTTGCATCCTTTCACCTTTCAGAGTTTCTTCCTTTGATGTCAGGTAAATTCTACTTGAGATCTGTCTTCCCTGCATCTAGATTTTTTTTAAAGCTGGTACATGGAAATTTGAGAATCCATGTCTTGATCTCATTGGAGGAGTTTGTTGCTATTCATTCTGAGTTAAATATTTTGGAGCAGTTGGGTGTAATTTAGTGAATCTCATTCCTGGAGAAAATAATAAAAGATTATTCTATAAAATTTTCCAGTTTAGCTTCATTGAAGCAATAACAAGCACTTAATTTTGCAACTTAGCTGAATTGATTCTTTCAGCTGAAAAAGTCATTCAGAAGGCTGCAGCTGGATGTGCTTTGGATGTATTACACATGTTTTCATTTTATTAATTGCCAGCCAGAACCCCTATTGACATTTTAGCTCGTGTCAATTAGTGATGGTGTCTGATCCTTCCTCTTGAGTAACGTGATTGTCCCTTGCAAAGGACAACAAGGTGCTTTAAGAAAAGTGTTTTATTCATGGAGGAGGCTTGCTGGAAGAAGCTCAAAGGGATTGTGCTTTGTAGGAAATGGTTTTAAATTCTTCAGCATGATAATTCCAAGATTAATAAGGATGTGGCCTGACAGATGTGTCCCGCAGCAGCAGTAACCAAACCAGGGCAGCTCTGTCCTGTGGAGAGACCAAATCCTCTGTGGTGGCACTGCCTCTTCCCTCCTTGGGCTGAAGGTCTTCATTGTTGTTTTTTGAGGCAACCAATTTCTTGGCATTGCACCCAGCCTCTGACCAAACACCAAAAACCTTGGCTGGCTCCCCAGAAATGAGCTTTGGTGGCTGAGGGAGCCTGGATGGCCAAGGCTGTTAAAATGACCTGGCATTAAAAATGCCACGGAGCCTTGATTATCACATCTCCTTCTAGAGCCAGCCTGGCCACCCTGGTCCCTGGAGAGAGAAGGAAAAGAGAACATGTAGTAACCTCTCCAGAGGGGCTGTGGGCAAAGCAGCAGGGTTAGTCTGGTGCTTTGAGGCAGATGTCTGTGGGTTTGGGACACTGAATGAAAACATGACTAACATTCTTCTAAGCTTTATTTGCTCAGTCATTAATTTGTGACATTTTTATAGGACGGTGGTTTTTGGAAGTCAGAGCATTTGAGGGGTTGATGCAAGCATCCAAAAGGAATAACTTGGAAAATTTAGCTCATGGATTTTTTTCCCAATCCTGACTACCTTCCTGACTACAGAAACTTCAGTAAATCATCCAGAAAAGTTGTGACTGCCCCATCCCTGAAGTGTTCAAGGCCAGGTTGGATAAGGCTTGATACCTGCTCTAGTGGAAGGTGTTCCTGCCCATGGCAGAGGGCTGGAACTGGATGAGTTTTAAGGTCCCTTCCAACCCAAACCATTCTATTCTGCTTTTATTTTACAGCTTTGAAAGAGGAACAGTGATGTTTGAATTGTGACCATAGGACAGTTTGGTGCCTCTTACAAGGAGGTCTTGGTGTATAAACTCCCTTGTGTCACCTGCGTTTGATGTTCATGTTTTTCCAGCAGGGCACTTGAGAGTTTTGCAAGAATTGTATGGAAGTGAATTCTAGGACAAATTCAGTTCTTTATTCTTTTTGCATAATTTTGTGGTAGGTGTTTAAAAAAAAAAAAAAAAGACCCTGTGATCCCTCCAAATGTGTCTGAATGGGAAGAAAGCAAGATGCTGTGCTCAAGAACTTCAAAAACTAAATCCAAATTAATAAAAATATGGAGGGTTTTCTATTATTTTACTGTTTATTGTCAAATGTGCTGAGGCAGGAGCAATTTCCCAGACCAAGTTCCTAGCCCACACTGCATCTGATGTGTCAGATGTTCCAAGAGCTGATGTGGCCATTCACAATGTTAATCCTTCAGCATTTTATAGAGGGAGGTCACAAGAGCTGTTGGCTGGAGTGCTCGGAAGAATGCTTTTAGGGTTGGAATAGCAAATTTCCAGTGTGGAGCACTGTTATAAAGCCAGGAATTGCTATAAATAAAACCACTGAAATGGAAGTTGAATTGTGCTGGCAAAGGTGGTTCAATTTACAGTAAAGTATTATTGTTCATCTTGACTTTTAGTCTAAATAGACAGTAGACTACAGAAGAAAAAGTAATATTGCCTAATTGTGTTCTTCAGGTCTGGAACACTAGAACAGCTCCTTCAAAAGGCAGTCTAAACAAAACTAATGCATGGGTCTTCCTAAGAATTCTTCCATTTAAATGTCGTTACTGTGCCCATTTTAGTCAAATTGCCTGTAGGCAATTGGCATTTGTGACTAATGGCTGGAGGAAGTGTTATGGGGCATTTGTTCCGCATTGCTTTCTTAGCATTGGTTATTCCTTTTTTGTATTCTGAATTCAGTTTTGATGTATGATACCAGCCATGCAAAAACCCCTCCTTGTACTGGCTGAAAGGCCATGTTTTATTCAAAGAGAGAAATAATTGCTTTGTCTTTCTCTTGGAAGGTTAGTACTGATAAAGTCTTTAGCCTGTTTTCCCCGTTCTGCAAGTGAATTGACGTGTCCATGGAATAGATAATTAAAAGTACCTGAATACCTGTGTTGAATAATATGAAGATGTTTAATGTAGGTGCTTTAGTAGAACCCTTGAGTCAGATCTGTCCCAGGGCAGGGGTTCCTCAGCCCTGTCCCTGTCACCTTTCCTGAGGACACTCAGATGTACCATGTGAGCAGTGGGTGTCCAGCTACCAGCTCACAGCTCAGAGGTTCCCATCTGTGCTTGTATGAAGAGAAGGTTTGGGAAGTAGGGCTTTTGGGAACCCAGTTTTAATGAAGAAGTGCTAGCTGAACGCCAATTCTCTTTTCAGAGACCATGTACTTACAAAGAATTGTTGGGAAGCTGCTGCTATGCAAGGGCTGCTCTTAAAAATGAATGGTGGGATATTTGATATCCCATATTAGCAGACTAATTGCTGAGTTGGGCACTATGTTTGGTAGGCATTATCCAGGCAAGGGCGGAAGAGGATGTAGTGGGGCTTTTCTCATGTTTAGGCAGTTTCTTTAAAAGAAAGACTCCTAAATTTTAAAATAAGGCAGAAGAGATGCTTGTTTTTTTCTGTTTTATTGTGGAAGAAGAGAAAGGAAGTTTAAGTGTCTTCTTTTTAATGCTGGAAATTTTGAAGGGCATAACATTATCAACATTGTTGATTTTTATTTTTCAGACATAGAAGTGGCAAGAACATCCCCAGGTAGATAAAGTCAACACTTCAGATAAATTGTCCTTGCTAATATTTGGTAGCTTTGTTGTATCATTTAACTGCAGAAAGCACCTTCAAACAGATATCTTGAGTTGTTCTGGTTTGACTCCATGGCAGTTCTTTCACTGAAGTTGATGCCCTTTGTCCAGAGGTTCATTTTGTTGTTGGTTTTCTGTTTGGAAAGATAACTATGTATAGTTCTTCACTAAGAGATCCTATAAAAAAAGTCAGCAAAAATAGGGAGAGACTGGAGCCTGGAGCTGTGCATGCAGTGAGACCTGTGCCCTCTGAAACCTGCACCCTCTGGAATTCTCAGTTCTTTGTTTCTTGTGCCTTTCTGGAGCCAGCTGCTTTGCAGACTTTTCCTTTGCTTTGCTTTTAGTTTGCTTTGGCTGCTTTCCTCTCCTTTTTATTATTCAATGCATTTTCAAGCATGCTCTAATGTCTGCTGTTAACCCACTTCTCAGCCCAGGGCCGGACTCGACCATCGAGACGAATCTCCTTCTCCTTCAGCATCTCTCCACTCATTCCTAAGTCTAAAACTCTCTTTTCTATTGGCTCTTCTTCCAGTGATGAGGAGGAGGAGTTGGATAGTAAGTAATCCTTTTCTGTGCAATGCAGCCATAATGGGTGGAAACACAGGGAAATCTGGTTTTCTGCTTCAGACACTGGAATTTCACCTTGCAAACATTGAACTCCCCTTTCCATTGCATGATGTCTAACAGCATTATCTTAGTCCTGGATCTGAATACTAACTAATGGCAGAATTTAAAGGGCTATTAGCCAAAGATTCTTCTACATCAGCACCATCACATCTTAACTGGTTAGTTTTAGTCTGTATCCGTGTGGCAGATATCATCACCGGCCACTCTGAGCAGCAAAATGATCTTTACCTTTTTACTAAAACCAAAATATTTGCCTTGAGCTTGTTGCAGGGCATGGAGTTAGCAGAAGAGGTGCATCCTTGCCTTCCTTAGGTGACAGTGAGTGCATTGCTCAGTGAAAGAGGAGGACAGAAGCCCTGATTATTAAATTCTGAAAATCTTCACAGCAACTTTACAGTTCCCCCACTATGCAAAAAACACAAATTGCAGCCAAAGACCTTCAATCCTCAGATGTTCATATCTAGGTCCTGATATTGTTATCAAAACAGTTCAGTGGGAAACAGGTGAGGGTTCTCTGGCAGCTTTTTTTTCCTCCTGCAAACTCCATTGCTAAAAGCTGCCCAACTAAGGCAGAAGATTGAATTAAAGTAATTTAGACTTGTCTTGTTTTTTAAAATAGGCTTACCAAAGATTATTCGAAATGCTTCCTATTTCTTAAGCATGTTTTATTAGACTGTTGAAATAAACCAGACACATTCCTTGTGTCCTTACAGGAATGGGGGAAATTGCTTTCCAGTCCAATAGATTATGATTGCTTCCTAAATTTAAAACATTCTCCACACCATCCACGTTGTATATATCTGAATTCTCCTTCTTTCCATTCCTGATCTTTACTGTGGGTTTGTCCTTTCCTTCAGCAAAGTCCTGTGCCCAGGTGTGATATTACCACTTCCATATTTAAGCTCCTTCATTGTTTCTCTGTCCTTTTCTTCTGCTTTTAACAAAACTCACAATTCATGGTCCTCACAAAGTGAACTGCAAAGACACAGCTCTGCATTCATGTGATGCCCCACAGTAAAAAATATCCTTAGGTAAACTTTCTGGTGGAGTTTTTTTGTTTGTTTGGTGAGTTTTGGTTTTTTAAGCATTTGGGTTATTTTATTTTTTTTTTTTCTTTTAAGCATCCAATACTTGATGTTCATGTTAGAGTTATGACGGTTTTAGAGGATATTTGTAGCGGCCAGTATTTTTCTTCTCTCCCTCAACAGTGCTCCTGTTAACAATGATCATTTAAGATAATGTCAGATATTGTCTCAAACAATGATATTGTTTTCTTTACATATTTGAGGATAATGTGGTGATTTTATAAAGGTTGATTTAGCCATAGCTCTTTCTGAGACTGCTTTGGTAATGGGCATTTTTCATGACGAAATCTCAGAACAGTTTGTTTTTTCACATCTTTAGGGTTCATTTCTTATACCACTCCTCAACCTTTCCATTCCTGTTTTTCCTTTAGAAAATGGAGAATTAGTTGAAGTTTGTCTGGTGAAATATTTAAGGCATGGATTTCAGATGGCTGGACAATTATTATGAAGCCTTTGGATTTCTTGAGCCACAAAAGTTTAATTATTGACAGCATTAAGGCATTGTAAGCTGGTTTCAACATCCTAGTCCAGTCACTGCTTTCTGCAAAATGGATCTTGATTAATTATTTCAAGTCCAGCTACAATGTAAATTAATTTTTGTGGGTGGTCCTTAAAAGGCGTTCAGATAAATACAGCAAATTTTGGCTGCTAGCCCAGGTTCATTGGGCACAGATAGGAGTTCTGGCTTTTGAAACAAAAACCTAATTTTTTTGTGAGTTCTGAAGTAAGATTTCAGTTTTGTTCCTGGTCATGACAGGGAACAAAAAGGTTATGAAAATAAGCTTTCCTTCCTCTGTCCAGAAGGTGAGAAGATGTGTCTTTTTCTATGCTTATCTTTCTGGGGTTTACAGCTTGCAGCAGTGTTGATCATGGGATGTTATATTATAATCTAAAATATGAAATCATAAACAGACCTTCATTCTTCACTGGATCCATTTTGCCTGCCAGCACCAAGAATCCCCCATTTTTAAGCTGAAACAACTATTGAAGTAAAATATAAATGATACATAACTGTAGTTCTCATGCAGTGTATTTTCTCAAGGTAGTGAAAAGTAGTCACAAATATCAAGTTATTGCGGCTCTTGGTTCAGTGTTTGTTCACATTTCTGATGTTAACTGCAAAGAAACAAAAAGGTTTGGGGAATACTTAAATCCAGTCAAACTGATGAATCTTCTAAAAAAAAAAGGAAAGAGTAAGGAGGTCTAACCCAGTTTAAAAGCAAGCTAGAAGTGAAATGGGAACCACAGTTACTGAAACTTTAACCAAGGATTATGGAGTCTGTAAATTACTTATGTGATCCTAGTAGGCACTTAGATTTTATATTATAGTTTTATATTATAAAAATATAATATCACTGTTGGAAGTGGAATAGTAGACTTCATTTCATACATATTACAGTTTTACTAACTTTGGTGTATTTGGGATAAATCATTAATGAGGTGAAAGATTTTGCAAGGGAAATATTAACACAGCTCTCCAAGCAGGGCTTAGGTAACAGGGTATGCCTGTATTTTAGTTTCTCAATATGAAGAAATTATATTTCTGTTTCAGACTCTGTTGGCACTTGAATCAGTGGTTAGAAAATCTGTATTTAAAGCCTAGTATGGCATGCACAGTTTTTCCTAATGCTTTTACTGCTTTTTGGATAAAGGGCCATCTTGGCCTCTAATGGCAAGTAGCTCCTTTGCATTCATCCTTAGCATTAAGAGAATTCGAGCCAAAATACTGTTTTTCTTGCAGCATATATGCAGAAGCCTAGTAAAGTGGCAGTCATGCTTTTTCTTGAACTTCAGATAGGGCTGCAAACAGTGCTTGTATGAAGGTTTTTTTTGAGTCCTGGCAAGGCCAGTAATTTCAGAGAGAGCCCTGTGTCCTGGATCATTTCATCCTGATTTTTCAGTGTTCTTCAATAGTTCTGGTAAATGTTGTCAGCTCCCAGATCTGCTCCAAATGCGTTGTGCAAGCAGGTTTCTTGGGCAGAGAGAGTTGGTGCCTCTGGCAGGGCTTCAGCTTCGTGTTGAAATTGAGCCTTTCCTCAATCAGTGTTTCGTGACGAAGCCCCAGGCTGGTAACGTTTCGTGGAAAACAGAATAAGGCTTCCCTTGTTTCCCTTACTCTTTATGAAGTGCCTCAGGATTTTGATGGGAAAATGAACTGCAGTTTTATCAAGGAGAAAAGTTTCATACATGAAACCCGGATGTGCTGTACAAAAGATCCTTTCTAGTGGAGTATAAATAAAAGCATTGTGTCAGAATGATTCTCATTTATACCTATTGTCATTGAATTGGCAGTTCTGTTTCAGCCACCCTGATTTACCAGCAAGTTTAACAGTTGCATGGTCTTTACTTAATAGCTGAAGAGTGATAAAAATACTAATCAGGCTTTCACCACCACATCTAATTTGAGAGCAGCTAAAGATACAGGGAACAAGCTTTATCCTGAGCACATGAATTCTGTTCTAAACACCCATTTCTGGAAAACATTTCCCTTTCCTCTTGAACCATCCCAATATGCAAACCATGTTTTTTGGAGTCAGTGAGCTAAGGTAGCAGTCTAACCTGTCCCCCCCTCCCCTCCCATCTTTTGCAGGTACGCAGTCGTTGGGCGGCTCCATGGGCTCCTCTGTGCAGAGGTACAGTATTGCAATATATACAGTGCAGTATTGCAGAATATACAGTACAATATTGCAGTATATACAGTGCAGTATTGCAGTATATACAGTACAGTATTGCATTATATACAGTACAGCATTGCAGTATATACAGTGCAGTATATACAGTGCAGTACTGCAGTATATACAGTGCAGTACATACAGTACAGTATTGCAGTATATACAATACAGTATTGCAGTATATACAGTGCAGTATATGCAGTGCAGTCTTGCAGTATATACAGTACAGTGTTGCAGTGTATGCAGTACAATATTGCAGTATATACAGTACAATACTGCAGTATATACAGTACAGTATTGCAGTATATACAATGCAGTATTGCAGTGTATACAGTACAGAATTGCAGTATATACAGTGCAGTATTGCAGTGTGTACAGTACAATATTGCAGTATATACAGTACAGAATTGCAGTATATACAGTGCAGTATTGCAGTGTATACAGTACATTATTGCAATATATACAGTGCAGTATTGCAGAATATAAAGTGCAGTATTTCAGTATATACAGTACAGTATTGCAGTATATACAGGGCAGTATATACAGTAGAGTGTTGCAATATATACAGTGCAGTGTTGTAGTATATACAGTACAATATTGCAGTATATGCAGTACAGTATTGCAGTATTTACAGTATTGCAGTATATACAGTACAGTATTGCAGTATATACAGTGCAGTATATACAGTGCAGTGTTGCAGTATATGCAGTACAATATTGCAGTATATACAGTACAATACTGCAGTATATGCAGTGCAGAATTGCAGTATATACAGTGCAGTATTGCAGTATATACAGTACAGTGTTGCAGTATATACAGTACAGTATTGCAGTATTTACAGTATTGCATTATATACAGTACAGTATTGCATTACACAATATTGCAGTACATACAATATTTACATACAGTATTTACAATATTGCAGTATATAAGTACAGTACTGCAGTATATACAGTACAGTACTGCAGGATTTATGATACAGTATTGCAATATATACAGTACTGCAGTATATACAGTACAGTATTGCAGTATGTACAGTACAGTATCACAGTATATACAGTACAGTACTGCAGTTTCTACAGTCCAGTATTGCAGTATCCTGGGGACACCCTGCCTCTGCTGGGGCCACTCCTGCACTGGGCTCTACCCTGGGCCCCCCATAGCCTTCCTGGCACCAGGGCACTTCAGCTGAAAGCAGAACTTGTGAAAATCAGTCCTGTGTCTCTGCAGGCTGAAGAATGTTTTAGATCACAGAATATGAAAGTCTAAGTCTCATCTCTGAGCAAGGTTCTGCGTATTCATAACATCAGATTTTGCATTAAAAATTTGTTTGTTGCATAATAATGCATAATTGCAGGGTATTGGTTTGCCCTGAGTTTTATGTTACACTAAAAGTAGTTCTTTCTGCCTGTGGCTAATTCTCTCTGTCTCTCAGTAACAAAGGCCAGAATGATCTTGTTTTTGTGTGTTACTTTTCATCCTTGCCAGTTGCACAGAGGAGATAATCTTGGTGGTGGCTTTCAAGGTGCTTTCCTGGAGGAAGGATGTTTGTGGCACTGGGTATCTGGTTTCTGTGCCACTGACAGCTTTGGCTTTATTTTGTGACTAGGAGGCTCTTCACTTCTGCTCTCTGCTGTCTTCTCCTCCTTGATTTAATTAGTATTTGTGTTCTGCTTTTGGTTTGTGTTGTACTTAATATTGACAGACTGTGTCCTTTAATGCAATAACAGTTTCTCCTTCTATCAGAGATGAAGAAGTCATAAGCTTGTGCATGCAAAGGCTGGCAAAAGTTATCTGTGATCCTAAAAATTCCTAAATTAATATACATAACCATTGTGGTTTATTACTTAATATTGGTATTCTCATTTCTCAGGGGAGGCTTTGCAGACAGTGTGGTTTCTGTTAAAGACATTCACTGCCTTTTCAGAGTTCATTAGATGCCTTTCTCTGGAAGGAATTGGTTCTTTACTGCATTAATGACTCCTGGTTATTTGACAGGGGAGCAGCAGAGGGTGCTATGGCATGGCCTGCTTCAAAATAGATGTGAGGATTCCTTGACATTTATCTCAAAATGAGTGGATTGGCATTTTGTCTTTACTTTTCCTTCTCTGGTAAAACACCATAAAGCACCTAGACTGCATTGGCTAATAAATGCATTTGTCCTTTAAAAATAATCTCTCCATTTAATCGATGCTTTGAGAAGGAGAAAAAAAAAACCAAAACAACTTTTGTCTTTTTTTTTTTTTTATTTTAGCATATCTGAAGAGAGCAGCAGTGTCTCTGCTGGTAAAGGTGTAACAAAAGTCAGCCGCACCTTCAGCTACCTCAGGAATAAAATGTCCAGCAGCAAGAAGAGCAAAGTAAGTGCTTCTTGTGATTTGTGGAATGCCCACAGGTGGCAGAGATGGGTTCTGTGTTTAAGTCTTTGCCTGAATTTCTTTTTTTTTACTTACTTCCTCCCTTCCTTTTAGTTTTCTTTAAAGGGCAGGAGTGTCTGTGGGGTGATAGGAACTGGCTCCATGGGAAATCTTAGCACCCCAAAACTGAGCCCAAGGACAACTTAGTGAGGCTCAATAAGGCCAAGTGCTGGGTCCTAGATCTGGGTTACAGTGACAATGCTGGGTCAACAGTTGGACTGGATGATCTTAAAGGTCTCTTCCAGCCTTTATGATTGTATGTTTTCACTTATTTCCCCAGAGAGAATAAATTTTGCCCTGGCATGAGTTAGACTTTGTAGAGATTAATGAGTCTAATTTTTACAGAACCTGAGAACCTTTAATAAAACAAGGACAGGAGCTGTAAGAAGGGACTGGTTGCTGAAGGCTGTTTTGCCTTCTCATAATTTTCTTACTTTTGCCACAAAGTTCCTGTGCACTACAGGAGAAGTTGCTCAAACAATGATTTTAGTGATGGCCAATATTTATATTTTACCCTTTTTTCCATCCTTGAAACCTTGAAATTTAATTTGCTGGAAGTTGAGCCCTGAATTTCCTGGGAACAGTATTGATTACAGCTGAATTTCCTGGGAACACTATTGATTACAGAAATAATTACATTAATGCTAAATCATTCACACAAAGGGGCTGTTGTTGCTTTAGATTGTCCCTTGAAGATTAATATATATTTGGAGATTTTTTTGGTTTGGTTGGATTTTTTTGCTTGAATCTCACCTCAATTATCTGTCTGAGAGAAGCTCAGAGCAGTTTGCTGTCTCGTTAGGTGATGTGTGGTTAATGTGTTGGTAAATACTGTTGTAAGGCCCTTGAGAGGTGTGATGACACACACAAATTCTTGTTAGGGATCTGTCTTTCAAGATAGCCACAAGTGGCTCAGAGCTGCTTCTGAGCAGCTTTAGGACAATGCTCTTCCCTGCTGCAAAGTGCAGTGTTGAAAAAGTAAATCTGTTTACATAGAAACCTCTGTGCAAACACCAGTGAGAAGTCCAGGAGGATTTTGCACAGACTGTGAGTGGGAATGGATGTTCATTAACTGGTTCTTGCACCTAATGTGAGTAATCTCTAAAGCAAAACTGGAGAGAGAAGTAAGAGATGTGCTTGGGACAGAAAATATAACAGCAATGCTTTTAGACACTTGCTCAGTGCAGTTTGTTTTCACTAATTTCATGATTGTGTCTGAAAATGTTGATAAAGCATTGCTCCAAAATCCCAGCCATAACACACACTGCAAAAATTGCAGCTCATAGCAACTCTCATACTCTTACTAAATAAAAGCCAAAATATCATTCAAGTTGTAATTTCTTGTCTGCTCATGGTGGAATGTTTGCATTATGTACATTTTTAAGGCTCCACCAGTAACTTTAAATAATTTGACCAAAAAATTCGTTGGAACACTGATTTCTCAGAAACATTATAAGTGAGAAAAACCTGTAAGAGTTAAAAAGAGAAGCAACAAAAGAAACCTTGAAAGGAGAAGTTTGACACAGGAAGTTGGTTTCTGGGCTGTCAGTAGGGAGGGAGGCTTCAGTGTCTTTCCAGCTTGGTTTAACTTATCTCCTGACCTTCAGAAATGCAGTTTTCTCAGATGAAATTGAGTAAAATAAAGCACATCTGAGCCTTTTGGAAAATGTAGAGAGTTATGTAAAAAAAAAGTTAAAAATAAAGGGGTGTTTAGAGCACTGACTGGAGGGGATACTGATAGAAGTTGACATGAATTTACCCTTGCCTGGCATGTTATTTTGGGTTATCAGTGAATCTCTTGCCTTTAGCAGAGTGCCCTGATTCACATTTGCAAAGTCTTAAACATGCTCTATCTTTGTCAGTTCAGGAAAAAAACCCTCTTTTTTTTTTTCTCATTTTGGTCAAGGCTTTCTGAGAAATTACAACAATTAGCATGAGTAATTTCTGGTTTTCATTGCCTTGCACAGTAATAAGGCAGTGCTGTGCCAGCAGCAGCATTTCAGGGTGTATGGTAGGAGTTGCAAGTGTTTGAAAGGATTAGAAGACAGGGAATATATGTGACCTGCAGAGCAGGAGGAGCTCAAACACACAAAACCTCTCTGTCTGGGCAACTTCTGCAGCGCTTTGTTTGCTAAAGTACTACATAGCAACACTGAGGTATGTGAAAATTCACTTTTTCTGTAGCCCAAACATCACAGAGTGTTTGATTTACTCTCCTCTACCTTTAAAAAGGTGGTCTTATATTGACTCGTAAAACATTAATCACATCCTTTTCTACCTGTATGGGTGTGGTTTTTAGTTTTATATGTTTTTAGCAGTGGAAGCTAAGGTAGGGCAAGATGAAAGCAACAGCAAAATAGCTAAAATCATCTTTAAGGAAGTCAGCAATGGTCCTGCCCCTCCTCCTTTTTGCACAACTGCTCCTGTCCCCGGCCCTGCCGCAGCCTCCAGCATGGCCATGGGCTAGCGGGGAGCAGCTCCTGCTGGGGAGCAGCTCCTGCCCAGGGCAAGGATGTCCATTAAGTGGAATAGATTCTCAGAAGTACCTCAGATAACAGTGAAGCTGGTGGGCCTGAAGCACTGGGAGGTAAGAGCTGCGTGGTTCCTGGGGAGTGGGATCCTCTGCCGCGGTGGCTGCTCTGGCACATCGCTTCAGCCACGAAGCTGGTGGCTCCAAATCTCACTGGCAGCTCCAACAGCACGAATATAGTCTTGTTCCTACAGTCCTTCTTTAAATAAAGTTCCAGTAACTGCCGCAGGAAAAAAGAAAAAGCTGAAAAAAATCTCATTGTGAGACTTTGTCCTTAAGAGGAGTGGCTGGCAGCCCTTGTGTGGAGTTTGCTGTTTCCTTTTTGAAAGTGGTGCACCAATTTCCTGTTTTTCCTGAGACTTTATGTGAAATTAAAATTAGACTTCAGAATTGCTGGGTTTTGCAGTGAACTTCAGGTAGATTTAAAGTATAGGATGGAAAAGCTCCTTTCAGCATGAGAGTCAAAAGATTTGGCTTGAGCTTAGAGTGATCTTTTCTCCTGGAGCTTCACAAGGCTTGGAAGTAGAGCAAAACTCCAGGCATCAACTTGATACCATCAGCCCAGACCAAAACTGCAGAGTTTAAGTTCCTGAACCCTCTCAGGCTGGATATGGTTAAAGATGGTCAGGTCAGCGGGTGGAAAGTGGGGCTGTGGAGGTTCCTGTGGGGTGGTGTGAGCCAAGCTGATGGCTCAGAGGAGGCGGAGATGTGACGCAATGCAGACTTCTTTTCTGGCAGCTTTTCTGCTTCAGACAGGAATATTCCATATGGAAATACTCCTAGTTTTGCTTATTTGCAGAACAAAACAGTGTTTGGGGCCAGTAAATAGACTTTCTGTTTGACACTTTGCAGGGAGAGACTCAGGCAGTGGCATTTTGCCTGGGATGTGTTGGGAGAAGAGTCCTTAGGCTGTTCCTCATGGTGTGAGTGTGTCATCCAGGGCTCAGCAGTTTCCCTGCAGTGGCTGCAGAGCTCCATCCCTCTTTAAGCCACTTCATGGCAGTTGCTTACGTGGGCAGCTCTGCAGCTCCCTGATATTCAGGCTGGGACAGTAACAAATAACAAAGTGCAAAGATAACGAAATGAATAACAAAATGCAATGATAAGCTGACAGAAGCCTTTACCAGTTTCTGGTAAAGATTCTCCTTCAGATGCCAGGAAATCTGCAGCAACAGTCAAAAGTACAGACCTGGAGTTGACTTGTATCATAAACATTTTGTAAGTTGGTACATGGAAAGACAAGGAGTTGTTGTAATTCAAATTCAGCATTTTTCTGTGGAGTTTCCTTTAAAATTTGTTTGGAAGAATTCCAAATCCATGAAAGGCTGCAGGGGAAAATGTTTCAGATTTTTAATATTTAGTATTTTCTTTCTAAAGTAGAGACAGAAAAGAAGCAAAAACTCTGCTAAAAGTTGGAGAAGCTGTCTGTGCTTGTCGTCTTTCCAAAGCTGAGTAGCCTAGAGGTTGAGTCGTGGCCTGTGGAAGATGAGAGGCTCTTTTATGGTGTTGCTGTTGTTCCCCAGCCTTTGTCTGGTGCCATAGGTCGAGAGTTTGTAGAAGATCCATTTGCCAAAAAGCTTCACAGAGTTACTTGGGGTTGCATGTAACTGTTGAAAAAGTTGCTAGATGGAAGGAAAACAGAGGTGGAAATATTTTGGCAGTAAGGCTGTGGAGGCACTGAGGAAGAGCTTGTGTTCTCCATTAGAAATGCAGTTGAAAATCACGAGCCTTATGGCTTGGCCTTAAAAATGAGCTGTGTTGAAAGTCTGATACACACTGCACGTGGTATTTGTATTTAACACAATTTATTTAAAGTGCTGAAGAGGGGTAAAGTCATTAAGCCAAGCAAGTATAAAACAAAGGTAGAAGGAACTAAGTGCCTTCAGAACAGACTCGGTGTTGTGCGCAGTGGTGAGACACCTGTGTGAGTCAGTGGCGTGTAAATCCACTTCCCCAGGGGCTTTTTTCAGGGAGAGCTGTGCAGACACATGGCCATTGTTCAGGTGCCCCTCGATCGATACCCTCGCCGTGCCAAAGGCAAACACTGAGCAATCTGTAACTGGGGGACAGACCTCTGCCAGTGACGAGGCTCTGGGTCACTCTGTCTCGGCAGGAAAAAGAGAAAGATAAAGAGAAGACTAAAGAGAAGGACAAAGATTCCAAGGAGAAGGAAAAAGATAAGAAGCTGTTGAATGGACATCTCTTCACTGCAACCTCCGTTGTAGCCCAAGCAACCTGTTACCACTGTATGAAGCCTTTCAATAAGGATTCGTACTACTGTGCAAGTAAGTCAGGGGGGTTCCCCCCCTTCCTTTTATTCTTCATTGAATCTGGCATGGAAAATGCGAACCTTACACTTTATTTTCCTTTTGCTTGAGGATGTGAGGTGGGAGGGAGGCTTTGGAGATAGTGATTCATGGAGTGATGTGTTGCCTTGTGGAAACTGGACTGAAATGAGTTGTGGCTGCATGGAGGTGTCCTGAAAACTCTTTCCTAAGCCTGAGCTCAGCCATCACAATGGCCATGGGGTTTTCTACCCCTTGTTGGGCTCTATCAGTCAGGAGAACTTTGGTTATTTCAGCTGCATGTAGTAGCTTGGAGCTGAGGTCCTTTGATAAGATGGACAAAGGACAGGGACAGCAGGCTTTGATCATGGCTTCTATGTGCAATGGGGGGAAAAAAAGTCCCTCCTGTGTGTGGTGTATTGCTTTAGCTCTCTGAAATACTGCTTCGGTGAGCCCACAGTGGGAACCACATGGTACAGAAAGGAAATGACCCTCTGCTCCCTTTGAACAAGAAATTGCATCACAGGTCAAATGACAGGTACCTGTGTGCATGTGAAGGACGTGCAGCACAGGACAGGCAGGGTAGGAACCTCACTGAGGGTTTCTCATAGATTAGGGATTTTGTTCTCATTTCTTATCAGACGGTTTCCCCTGCCTGCAGCTCGATAAGGTCAGTGGTGTTTGTGTGGTCAAGACCACAATGCTGCTTCATGCAGCAACCCAAAGCTACAGAACATGCAGACAAAACCCATTTTTTTCCCCACTATAGCTCAGTGAAAAAGGCTTTCCTCTCCTCAGTATTAGCAGTTTTTCACTCCACTAGTTTAGAAATGAGTCAAAGCGAGTGCGGGAGCTGCTCCCAGGCTGGGGCCTTCCGTTGCTGCTGGTGGATGTGAGCAGGAGGAGGAGCAGCCAGCTGAATCCCAAATGGCACTTCTGAGTTTCCTGGAAGAGATTTCAGCAGAGTTGTTTGTCTGAGACACGCTCTGTGTCAGCCTGATAGGAAATGTAAAACATCAACAATTACAAACTCTCAAATGCATCCTCTCCCTTTCCCCTCCTGACTTCGTTAACAGCTTCTGAAGCTATGTAGAACACCAAATATATCCCAGTTTAATGCTCCAAATGCTAATGAGATAAAATAACCCACCAGTGTTGCATGTTTTAGCACAGATGTTCTTTCCTTGTTTTCAAGACACGATGCAAAATTTTTTCATGTTTTCTGCATTGGCCAGGAAATTAATGTCATAAAAAAATGGTGAAGGCCTATGTTGAGAGCTCACATCAGTGAGTGGTTCCTTCTCTCATTGCATCTAAAAATCAGCCTCAGATGCTTTGGAAATGATGGATGAGCAGCAGCAGAGGCTCTGATCCTCCTGTGCTGATGTAGGCTGGTGCTACCACCACTGCTCTGTCTCACCTATGGATGACTTTTAATGCCTTTTAAAGCACGGGGTATTTTAAATCAATGTCTCAGCTTTTCAGTTATGCCCCCTCATCTTCCTGAAACATCTACGCAATGCTGAAAGATCTTGCATGCTCTGAAACAAATGGGCAAGCAAAAGACCCTGATTTTTAATAGCATTCTGCCTTGTCTTTTTTACTTTTTTTTTTGATCAGTGATGCAGAAAATAAGGTTTTGGGGGTTGTAGTTATTAATACTAGTGACACACAGGAGTTAGAGGAACTTCTTTCTTGCTGAAGAGTTGAATTGGAGGAATAAAGTCCCTACAACCAGATTTTTTAACATGAAATAACATGAAAAATCCTTTTTTTTTGCCAAATGGTGCACACTAAAGAGCTGTCTTCAGGCTTTCAAGGCTTGAGTGTGAATTTCATGATTCTGAATTGTCTCACTGCCTCTGTTCATGCACCAGAGGAGCAGGTTCTGTTCCTCTTTCTTGTTTGGTCGTCAAGTTTACATCACTTGTGGGTTTTTGCAAGAGTTTTCAGGTTGCTTTGTTCTGTCTTCTTGTGCACAGGAAATTGTGAGACATTGTCAGAATAGCAGCACCCAATGACCTTACACTCATATCTGTCAAAATGTCAGAATTACTGGCTTTTGTTGAGTCATCCCAAATGTAAGAGATGCTAGAAGTGTGAGCATATTTTGTCATTCTGGACATAGAATTTTTTCATTTTTTCTACTTCAAGAAATAATTCAGAACTTCACACTTATTTGTAAAATACAGCTCATTATCTGTGTTAGTGTTGTCATTAATAAGTGGAAATGTTTTTTCTAAGCTACTGAATCTCCTCTTGAGCTGTGATCTTTCATCTGCCAGAAGAGTTAAAGCCTGAAACCCATTTCTCAATTCTTATTGGGAAAAAAAAAAAAAAAGGGAGTTTTAATCATCTTTAAAAATTTGATTCCCAGAAATCTGCTGGCAGAAGTCATGAGCAGATTCAGGGTATTCAAAAAAACAAAAAAACAAATTAAAAATCCAAGCCACTCAACTTTTGCTGTGGCATACATACAGCAAATTTCAAGCATCATGGTCTTTGCATTGGTGAATGTGATGCTTTTGGACCAAAACTTCAGTTTCCAGCAGGAAGTCCCAGCCTCAAGGATTCCTGACAGATGCTGCTCCTGTTACCTTTCCTGGTAACCCTGCAGTACAGCAGCACTTGGGCTCTGTGCCATAGATCTTATCCATGGTCTCTGAGTTTATGTAAATTAATTTCTCCATCCTCCTCCTGTCTTTTTGATCTCATAGCCCTTGTCTTGATGAGAACAGTATTTATCTTTTCAGAGAAATACTGGCCCTACAATTGGTTTCTGTTTCTGTCTCCTGCTTGTGCTTTCCACTTTACTTTCAGAGGGATAATGCCATCAGGGTTTATTAACAAAAGGCTAATTTTCCTGGAAAGCAGCCTCTCTCTCAGCTAGTCATGCAAACCACAATGATGCCTAAAAGTTACAATTCTCATTTGTGTAAGTTAGCAGTTCAGATTACAAACAGCAAAAACTGACCTGTTTTCTGTGGGGCTTTGTTTAATTAATTGGTTTGGTTTTTGTTTGTTTTTTTTTTGACAGACTGTAATGCAATTGTTCACAAAGGCTGTAAGGAGAATTTTGCTTCTTGTGCAAAGGTCAAAATGAAGGTAAGGGATTTCACCTACTCTAGTGAATATATATATACATATATATATATATATAACACTTCCTGCCACATGTCACAAAGTTTCCAGTTTGTTGTAAAGAACTTCAGCCCCAGTGCTGAAGCTTTCACATAATGAAACTGTTAAACATACTGTTAATATGAGGAACACACAGATTTCGTTGCTTGCCCCAAATGCAAGGAATCTGTTTCTCCAAGCTAAGTAATGTTTGTGCGATTATGATTTCAGTTCACTTCAGTATTGTCATCACTTTCACATTTTCATATTTGCTGCACATTTGTCCATCTGTTATTTTGCCCACTTCATTCAGAGAAAATAAAAATATATTTAAAAATACACGTACACTGAGAGGCTTCAGGAAAAAAATTAGCTTTTTTTGTTTTAGTTATATGTCACAATCTTCTGGGAGAAGGGATGAAGAAATTAAAGTGAATTTCATTTTTCTTTCAGCCACAGAGAGGGATGCTGCAGGCACATGATACCTCTTCATTACCCACAGTAACCATGAGAAACAAAAGTAAGATAATTTCTTTCCCTCTGCTCTGGGAGTGGTCTGTGTCTGCTGTTCTTAACTTTTCTGACAACTGATACTTGACATTATGAAAAATAAGGTTTTAACAGAGCAGGGATGAGAGCATCCTCTGTGCATGCTAAGCAATATTTGAGATTTCAGAAGTTGTACAGAAGTTGTACAGAATTCATCCCCTTCTGCAGTGTCTGTGTAGCTCTAAGGAAATGTAAAATCATCTTAGATTTAGAAAAGTCACGTGTCGTAGCTTGCAGAAGGCCTGTACCTGTTAAGGCCACAAAATTTGGAAGATGCAGCCTGTGTCCATGGGTGTCTGACATTGGAAAGAATCCAACTATGAGTATTAAGTGGAGAGGATTTAAAACACAATTATCTTTTGTTTAAATAGTCTTGGGCTTTGAGATAGGCAAAAGAGAAAGTTTAATTTTGAGTAGGAGGAATACTGACAAGCTGTTCCTGACTTTGCTGAGATAAACACTGCACTGCAGAGTGACCCACTGTCACCAAGGCTGAATAGGTGTGAAATGGCCCAGACTGGTTTTGTAGGGCCATGATTTGATAAGCTTTGATAAGATAATTGATAGCTTGTATGGAACCACACTATGTTATACAGTTGTAATCACTGTGATATTTATAATGAAGTTCAGAGGTATTGCTCCAGATAGCAGAAATGCATCTGAAGAAGGAAAAATCTGGAATTAATATAAACAAATTCTTTAAGGTATGATATGGTATAATGGAATCAGGATTATCATTTCTCTGTGGTAGCTATTGGTAAGAGAAACCCATCTCAAAGAGTTTGACATCAAGATCAAAGGTTATATGACTATGTGCCCAGGGAAATAAAAAGGCAACAGGGTGGATTGTGACATAGGGTTAATTATCAAAACAGTTAAATTCAGTTTCTGGAGTTGCAGATCCCACCTGGGTAATGAAGCACGGTGCAGTGAGTTCTGCTCAGGGGTCAGTGGTCTTCCCTTCCTATGGCTGTTCCTAACTGCTGACACCCCCTGGGGGTGATTCTAGAAAGAAAAGGCAGTGAATTTCAGAGTGTGGATCCTTTGAAGTCGTCCCCATGCCAGTGAGCAGTGGTTAAGGTGTTTGCACGGCCTGATTGTTCTCCCTCCCTTCCGTTGCAGGCTCTCAGCCCAAGGAGCGCCCGCGCTCCGCGATCCTCGCGCCCGACGAGAGCTCCGTCACCTCCAGCTTCAGCAACAGGAGATCACAGCAGCCCTCTGCGCTCTCCAAAAGTGTCTCCATACAGAACATTGCAGGGTAAGGCTCCTCCCTGCACACCTGACTCTGTGTGTGTTATCTGATGCTGCTGACATGAAGAAGTGCAGATCTCACTAAAAATAAGTTCACGTGCTGTGACTTGCATTAAAGGTACAAACAGGATCACAAACGGAGAAAAAGCCATGTTCTATATGATACCATCAGTTGTCTTCTGCACAGTCTTATGTGAGTTAGTTTAGTCATGGCAGGAGTTCAGAGGCACAGCTGAGTTGGCCTGGTACATTCAAGGCCACTTCCCAGGGATGCTCTGGGCTCCTAGGAAGGAATTCCCTTGTCTTGGGAATTGGGCAGGATGCTGTGCAAGCACACATTTGCAGCTCAGGTATAAAATATTAACTTTTGTGTCCATAACAAGAGGGTGAAGGCACAGAGCTTCAGTCTTCCTGTTTTTAGACTGCATTATACATGATTCATTACAAAAAACATAGAAGAAAATCCAATTTATGGTTCCTACCGTACTTGCATATTGAACAGTTCTACATGTGAGGCAGGGACTGGCTTATTCTGGGCAATTTGGATGTCCTGGCTATTCATGGGGAATTTAACTTCAGTCCATTTTCTGATCTTTCCCAGGGCTAGTGATAAGGATTCTTGTAGAGCCTTTGGTGTGGTGTTTTTTTGCACTGTTTGCTCCAAGGGCAGTGAGGATGGGACGTGACTGGAATGGAGTTGTCCCAACTATAAAAGCTCAGGAGTGGTTCTTTATGGAAAGCACCGTCACTCACAACTGTAGCACTTACAGCTTCTCAAGCTCCAGTGGGTAGTTAGTAAACAACACATAAAAGCACATTTCTGTACATAACCGTGCAGTGCTGGCTTTGTTTTTCAATTCATATTTTAAATGCATTTATTCTGCTTATCTGAAAGTACATTTGGCTGGGTTTTTGTCATAAACAATATTGTGTGTTCTGTTTTTCTGCAGAGTTGGGAACGATGACAGCTTAATACACACTTGGAAATTCCTGTCGCAGTCAACAGACTCTTTACATAAAATCAGCCGGGTTAATGAATCCATGGAGTCACTGGTTGATGAAGGTAAGAGATCTCCATGGCGTTTATAGGAGAAGGAAGGTCTCAGTGCTGCTTTCCAGAAATAGAAAATACATTTTCAGCAATTGTCTTCTTTTATAATGGACAATTAAAGTGCATTTATTTTAATCTCAGAATATTAGTATGATAAACTAAAACAAAGCCCCACATAGTAATTTCTTTAGCTCATTGAATTATGGAAAAACATTTAGAAGGTTTCAGTTACAGTTGAGTTACTTGGAATTTAGCTCAGGGACAAACATTTCCTCTTCTGTTGTGGTTTTTTATTTAACTGCAATGTCGTTTCATGGCAGATTAGGAATACATTATCTGAGCTAGAATTTGTTCCATGTGAAAATGGTGAACAGGAAACTAGGAAATAACCTTTAAAAGTCTTTTTCATAACTAGTCTTTATGTGGTATGTGATCATTTGTGTCAGTAAAGGAGAATGTATGTGATGTCTGTGGTGTGACTGACAAAGCGTAAGCCTAAATAATTAGACAGGAATCTCAAATGAGACAAATTACCCACATCTTAATGGCACTTCTATTGCTTTGTGAAGGTGCAGACATGAATGAAGGACAGCTCATGGGAGACCTGGAATTAGATTCCAAGCAGTTGGAGGCAGAGTCCTGGAGCCAAGCAGTGGACAGCAAGTTCCTACAGCAGCAACACAAGGATGTTGTGAAACGGCAAGATGTGATTTATGGTGAGACATCTTCCCTTTTTACTCACTGTAAACAGCTCCTTGATAGGAACACTGCTTTGGTTTCCTCAAAAGCCAAACTTTAATTCTTGAAGCTCCTAGGAATGTAATGTATTCTGTGAAAGGTGTCTTTCTGCATTTCACATATCCAGAAGCCATCAAAAACCCCAGGAATTGCCTCTCCTCATTTGTCTGGTGTTGACTTTCAAACTGGGTTCCACCACAACCAGCTAGCTACAAAGTCTTTTCCTGAGGGATTCAGGAGCCATCCTGTATGGCAAAAGGGGGATGTGTGGAGGCTGGCAGTGAGGTGTTAGGAAGGAGAAGATACCAGGGCTGAAGGTTGAGACCCCAGCAGCAGCATCCAAAGCTCTCTGTTGTGGGACACCTCTTCTCTCCTGTTTCTCTCACACGTGGAACTCTTGACTGATGTTACAATTCCTGACATGAATTTTTTTTGACACAACTTAGAGAAGCCCACTTATGGAAAAGCTTTCTAATGGCAGCTTTTCCTTGTGCTCTAACCCATGAACTCTTGTCCTCATCCCATGCAGAGCTAATGCAGACAGAAATGCACCACGTCCGCACCCTGAAGATCATGAACGATGTGTACAGTGCAGCTATGGTGAAGGAACTGCAGTTTGAACAGCAAGCAGTGGACAAGCTCTTTCCCTGCCTGGAAAACTTGCTGCACATCCACAGTCAGTTTTTCCAGCGGATTCTGGAAAGGAAGAAGGAGTCACTGGCAGACAAAAGTGAAAAGAACTTTGTTATCAGGAGGATAGGTGACATCCTAGTGAATCAAGTAAGTGCTGGAAAATGTTTGCAGTTCTGAGAGCACAGCTGGAAGCCAGATGCTTTTCCTTCCCTCCTGTTTGTTACTGTCAGATAAGCACAGCTGATGGCACCTTTACTCTTAACACATACAAATTCCGCCTCTGCTTTTTGAAGCACTTTTTGCTCTTTCAGAGGAAGGTCCACTGTTGAAAATTAATTTAGTTCATTTTGTGGGAAAGAGAAGCATTCACTTGCAGGCACAAAACAGTTTGACCACAGACTGGAGTGTAGGCAGGAGCATACAGCTAAATATGCCCAGTGTGTTTCTTGGCTGCATTACTGACCTGGTGTTTAACTCGGGATGGGTGATCTTAGTTTTCTTTATCCACAGTTTCTGTCTTCTTTTTGTCTGTCTTGACTCTTTTTGTGGTTGGTTTTAAGCTGTGGGAGTAGAGTTGCAAATTTTGCTGTAGTGATTCAGTGAAGTCCCCAAATCAGCTCTTTACTCTCCAGAGATCTGCTTGCATGGTCGAGCATGCTTTGGACTAATTTGATTTCCTCAAATTCTTCTGAGAGCCTGGCAGGCACTGCTGGGGTGTCACCCCAGGAGTTCAGTGCAGGCTGGAGCTGTGTGTCACTTTCTTTGCAGTTCTCTGGGGAGAACGCTGAGCGGATGAAGAAAACGTACGGCAAATTCTGCGGGCACCACAACGAGGCTGTCAATTACTTCAAAGATCTTTACAAGGAAAAGCGCTTTCAGGCGTTTGTCAAGGTAGGACCTGGAAGGACAGATGTACCCAATGGAAAAGACGTGTCCTTGCTGCACTCTGGGGGAGTGTTTTGCTGCAGAACTGAAATTTTCTTCTTTGTTCCTTAGAAAAAAATGAGCAGCTCCCTGGTGAGGCGCCTTGGGATTCCTGAATGTATCTTGTTGGTAACACAGAGAATCACAAAGTACCCAGTCCTTTTGCAAAGGATACTGCAGTACACCAAAGGTAGGGACCAGCTCCTCTATTCTAAGTGCATATTTGTTTGTCCAGTGTGAAGTTTTAATCCTTTATGGCTGAAGCAGATTTTTTTACCAGCTAATCCAGTCCTTTTTGTCTCACATCACTGCAAAGAGATAACTGAATTCAATACTTCCAGTTAGGATTAGTTGTTTAGTACCTTGATTTAGTTGTTAAAAGTCTGTCTGTAGCTAATTATGGAGCAACATGCCTAGACTCCAAAGTCTCCTAGCTTGCTTTTTTAGGTATTAGCTAAAATATGTAGTTAATTTGTGCATTTCATCTCTACTGTCTTATATGCAAAGTGTATTGGAATATTCTCCAGTCTCAACCATGTATATGTAAAGGGTTTTGTGAAGCTCTCTTTAAGGGGGAAAAATGTCTCATTTAAGTATTAAAAGTTATAATGTGGGAACTTGGGAGAAGAGGAAGGAAGGAAGCAAAAGTGGGAAGTTAGACTACACAAAGTCAAATCGAGATGTTTCTGTTTCTTTTTTAAAGAAAATGAAGTGGAACATGAAGACTTGACTCAGTCGTTAAATCTTGTTAAAGATGTGATTGCTGCAGTCAACAGCAAAGTCAGCAAGTATGAAAAGAAAATGCGCCTTGGGGAGATTTACAACCGGACGGACAGCAAGTCCATCATGAGGATGAAGAGTGGCCAGATGTTTGCAAGAGAGGACTTGACGCATCGGAAACTCATCCGAGATGGGCCTGTTTCACTAAAGAACTCAGCTGGCCGGTTAAAAGGTAGGACTCTCCTGCCTTCTGCTGAGGAAGGATGCAGCTCACCCTCTCTGGATGTAAGATTAATCCTCAAATTGGTGCCTCCACCCTTGATTTATTCTTCTGCCTTGATAGATTGTGACACCAGCTTTCCCCTGCTGTACCCCCTCTCCCCATTGCATTTCCAATTCCTCGTGTGTGTTCTGGGGTGACAGAGAGCTGCTTTTCCTCCTGGTGACTGCGTGCCTGCTGAGGGCTCGGGTGGCAGTGACACCTCCGTGTGTCCCTAACTTGCTGAGGGATACTCTGGGCCAGGAGGACACGATGGGGCTGCAGTTGCCCAGAGCATGGAGTCAGATCTCCATGCCTGTGCCACAGTTCCAGGAGTTGTGCTGGCTAAATCTGGAACCCAGCCTCAACTTTCTGGGCCTTTCCTTCCCTCTGAGGGCTGTGGCATGTCTGCAGCAGTACCATCCCAGTTGCACTGGGATCCAGGGAGATGTCCCAGGGATTTGTTGCTCTTGAACCTCTTAAGCTGTTGACACAAACTGTTCAGGAGAGGCTATGGTGTCCCTGCAGCTGGCTCGTGTTGGGTCAGTGTTTTCCTGAGTTGCTTTTTGTTTGTTATCAGGTGGAAGTAGTATTTTTAAGGTGCTGTGCACTGAAGTCCTCCAGTGAGTTAAAAGCTAAATCTTCCAAGGAAACTTTCAGCTAGGACCACGGTAGCAGTAAGAGCAGACAGAGCTGTGCCTCAGGCCTGGCAGGAAGGCTGGGCTTCCCTTCCTCCCTGCAGCATAAGCTGATTAAATATGGTCTGTGGGCATGAATGGAGCCTGTGCAAGGAGGTGATGATAACGTGGAATTCCGTATGGGGTATGATTTATTTTGAGGTTTTGGAAGCAGGAAGTTTACAGATTATTTCTAGGCACCCGAGACTGCTACTGCCTTCAGATGGTGGATGAAGCAAGTTCTGCTGCTGTTGTGAAATCGTGATAAGCACAGGCTCCATTTGCATTTCTTAATCATAGAAATGCACAAACATGTCCGTAATGCAGACTCCCAGGGAAGGTAGGTCCTGCAGGAAGGCTGCAGACCCAGAGAGAGAGTAGATCGTTCTTATATTCAGGTTATTTTGTGGTATTTGAAATGGAGCACTGAAAATTATAGGAGGGACTTTTGTATAAGGGTTTTAGCATTTCCACTCTTGCAAAGTGCATGGAACAGAGAGAAAGGCAGTCAAATGCCACCTTCTGCAAACCTCCCAGAGCCTGGATTTCATTTTGCAACTTTGCTTAAAATTTAGTGGTTCTTTTATCTGGAATGGATTCTGTCTTCCCAAAACAGACTGGAAGGATTTACTCATGGGATGATTTAAGTTTCTGATTTGCTTCCTCTCTGTCACCAGATTTCCCAAGTACATTACACAAAACCTCTTTGTACTGAGGGGTCTGGGTGGGGCATTACACTGGGTAGTTGCTGTGCAGCTTTATGATATGTTATTAGGAGACTTGGAAGGCTCTACGTGTACTCTGGGAAAAGACTGATTTAAAAACCTCTGTTGGCTTGAGGTTGTGTTTCCTTCTCCCGTGAAAGAAAGCCAGGTCCTGTGTCTCATGCAGGCTCCCCTCAGAGCTGTGTTTGTCTGAGAGCAGAATTACTGGTGGCTCCTGAAGTCAGTATTTCCTGGGAAAGAAACTGCAGCTGACAAATGTTGTTATTGCACGATAATTTACACCCTGCAAACCACTCATCAAGAGAACCATAAAATCCAAAACTTCCCGTGCAGATATTTTGCTTGAGGGCTGAAATATTGATTGTTTGAGAAAACAGAGCTTCTATTGAATAAATGTTTCTGGCTTTCACTGTTGTGCCCATGTCTTAACCGGTAGTGAGCATGTGGCTGAGAGGAGCACCCCTGCTCCCATGGGTGAGAGCAAATCCTGCAGGATGCCCTCTCATCCTCTTGTGTCCTGCTCCATGCAAAGCTGGTTCAGAGCTAACCTGATCTGGCACCTCCAGGAACTGCCCTTGCTCCTCCTGCCAGCTGGGAGGTTGATCTTGCTTTCAGGATTTGCAGAACCAGCCCTGCTCCTGTCCAGCACTGGTGTTATTGCAAGAAATCTTTTCTGGCGTGAGTTGTGTGGTTATACTGCAGCAGTGTGCTTTTTCTTTTGCAGAAGTCCAGGCTGTTCTCCTCTCTGACATGCTAGTGTTCCTCCAGGAGAAGGACCAGAAGTATGTCTTTGCCTCACTGGTAAGGCTTCAGCCCTTTTTTCCTCCTTACTTTTCTATGTGAGAGACCCGTGATGTGGTGTTGTGCAGCAAAGCCAGCAATTTCCTGCTAAACAACTTAATTTTCTTGCTCAGAACATTTTTGTTTGCTGAGCAGACTCCATTCTTTTTGATGGGAAAACATGTCCTCATGCCCCACCTCCCCTTCCTGCTGTGCCTTGGCACAGCTGATAATTGGCCTTGAAAACCTGCCTGTCACTAGAAACACTTGTGCTTTGCAGTTTGTGCACATTGGAGCAGTGACTGGGCTGGGAGAGAGTGAGGGGATAATGCAAACTTTGTAAAAATGAACCTCAGCTGAAGGAAATGTCCAAATGCACTGTGAGCTGCTGCAGGAGGCAGTGAGGTGAAATGCTAGGGCAGTAAATTCAACAGAACAGCTTGAAAATAAACAAGAAATATATTTGTAATGTGCAGGAGCAAAAACATTAGGTTTGAGGGCAGGCCCTCAAAAAGGGCTGGGCACATTGACTTGCTAAAGAAAACCTGGTGCCTGATGGAGTCTGCTGGGCTGTACCTTCCAGGCATGGTCTAGACTGGCTAAACCCTGTGACCTTTCCACTCTTTGAGCATTTTGAAAGCTGATAATTTGTTATTCCAGTTCCACCAACCCTCTGCACAGGCTCAGTGCCCTACACATGAGAAGCTGATTTGCATCAAGTCCGCTGGTGAACCAGATCACCCCAGCTGCAGCGTGTGGTACAGAGCACAAAGGGGCTGGCTCCTGTGCAGATGACACAGCAGCCTGGGGACACTGTAACCCAGCAGGCTGATGACACAGGGACCTAGCACACGGTGAACACTACCTCACACACAGGTTCTGACACAGCAGTCAGCTGTAAGCATCTGAGAACAGCAGAGGTTTTGTGGGATTTGGAAACAAGACTTTATCCTGGAGAGAGATGGTGAAGACACTGTGTGTGAAGCAGGCTAGCAAGCTGCACCAAGTGTAAGGAGCTGTGATATTGATGACAGGAAGAGTGTGGTCAGTAGAAAATGAGATCAGAGCAAAATATGGTACAGTGTACAAAACCACAAAGTCAATTTAAAATTAATTCTTTCTTGAAATGGAATGAAGTAAAATTGCTTTTCCTGCATAACTCCTGGAGGAAAGCAAGCTCATCCCTTTTGTTTGACCCCGTTGAAATGATTTTGGCTTTTTATTAGCCAGTATGTTCAGAAAATGTTTGCAAACCTGAGAGATGTAGCACTATGGTTTATTGAGACCTTTTCAATGCTAGTTTGAATCTGGGAGCTAGCTCTGGTCCCCTTCCTCACCCATTTCTTTCCATCTGAAGGACCAGAGATCCACTGTGATCTCTCTGAAGAAGCTGATTGTACGAGAAGTGGCTCATGAAGAGAAGGGTTTGTTCCTGATCAGCATGGTTGGGAAGGATCCTGAGATGGTGGAAGTCCATGCCAGCTCCAAGGAAGAGCGCAACGGCTGGATACAGATCATTCAGGACACAATGCACACCATGTAAGACACTCAGCTGTTCTTGTGGGGCAGGGGGTGCACTGGGGATGTTCCTGTAGTAATTGAGCCATGTCTCCTGTCCAGGGATAGAGATGAAGATGAAGGAGTCCCTTGTGAGTCTGAGGTTGAGAAGAAATTGTCCGATGCGAAAGTGAGAGGACTGAAAGGTAAAATCTGCCTGGAACAGAGCTGGGAGGCCACTGTGGAAAAATGTATGGGAGTTTCTTGGATTGGGTTTTGTGGTCGAAGTGTGACTTTTTTCAGTCCTGCATCCAGCAAATAACTGCAGTCCTGGTTTGCAGATTGCCTTCCTTGCATTATTTATTTTCCGAGCCTGCTGTGCCAGATTGCCCAGGGCACTGCCGGGCTGCCAAGCCCAGCACATATTGTCATGCTCCACTAGATGGGGCCAATATCTCAGGAATAGCTCAGGTTTCCTTGCCAAAGCTTTTATTTTGTCTTCATCCCTGTTTTCTGTTCACCCCCACAGAACAGCTTCAGCAGAAGGATAAACAGATCCTGCTCTTGCTGGAGGAGAAGACGAAGATCTTCCAGGACATGGCAGACTGTTCTGTGCAGGAGGAGACACAAGGCTCCAGGCAGCTCTTCAGAGCCAGCACAGAAGAGGCTCCAAAAGGAGAGGAAATAATGAAATCAGCAATAAATGAAGGTGAGCCAGTCACGTGGCATGTAAATTATAGTAACCAACTATAATTGGTTACTACCAGTGAAGGCATCATTTCTCAAGCACCAGTTTTGCAGGGAACATCTTCTCTTTGTCAGAATAACAAGATAAGGAGAAACTCCTCCTCATGGTATTGTCTCAGGGACAGATCATGAGGATCAGGAAAGGAAGCAGGTATTGCAGGGGTGTTGAAAGAGGGCAGGGAAGTCAGCACAAATAAAACCATGCATTGAACCTGCTTTGGGGTCAGGAGCAGCATGGGATTTATCCTTGACTGAAATTTGGACCATCCAGGCTTTGCTGTTCTTCAGTCTCAGCAAGATGTGAGGGTGGGGTTGGGTTCCAGCAGGAGCTTGTGATGCCTGCAAGGGACAAGCAGTTCTGTTGACAAGGCAAGGGTAGGTGGAAACTCAGGCTACTTTCCAGTATGATCTTTGGAGAGGCTAAAATTATTAAATGCAGTTGTCAGAGAACACTGAGGTTGCCTGAAGAAAGAGAGGGAGGTGTAAGGTTTTTGCAGAGCTCCAAGAGTTGGAGTTAGTGGTCAGACTGAGTTTTTGCAGGGGCAATGTGTACTGTTCACATCATTGTCACAGAAACCGAGATTCTTTGTACACCAAATAATTTCTGACCTGAGCTCAGGCAGGGATGAAAATAGCTCAGAAACCTGAGGTGGGCTTTAACAAAGACATTGCTGCTTTTTATCAGTTGAAGTGCTGCAACACCTGGTGAGCAGGAGTCTGGGCACTGCCCTTGGACAGCAGGTCAGCAGCACTGCCATGGACCAGGAGGGAGGAGTTGGCCCCATCTCACTCCCTAGAAGGGCAGAAACTTTTGGAGGATTTGACAGTCATCAGATGAACGCCTCTAAGGGTGAGTAGTTCTGTGTGTGCTCATCAGAATTTGTTAATAACACACGTCATCATATCCTCTTGCTTCAGAAGGACTTCTGCTGGTGGTTTGGGTTTCACAACTCCTCTCCAACAATAGGTGACAGATTAAATCACAGATTAGGAAAGAAAGCTTATGTACAGGTGGATTGATGGTGGCTGAGAACCTGTGGCTATACAAGAGTTAAACATTTGAACTCTTCACTCCTCTCTGTGCTCTCTCCAAGTAATACTTGCTCTTTTACTCATGTGCCACATGAAAGCATTTGGCTTCTCAATAAATTAGTTTCTTCATGTTATTATTGTAATATCTACAGGTCTGCTCTTTGTTCTTCACTTTTCTTCCCAGCAGGAGCCTGATTCTGTTGCATTTACAAATGGATGTGGATATTGCTGAATCAAACACCTTCTCCCCTGTCTCTGCTCTCTCTGCATTTATGTTCCACCTACATCTGCATGTATTATTCCTCCAATTAGGTCTCTCCCAAAGAAATGCGTGACTACTTATTTCAGCTGCATACTTGGCTGCTTCCCAATGCCCTCTTTCTTTGCTCTAGTCATCAGAAACTTCCCTGTCCTCAAATTCCTTTCTCTGTGGTCTTACTCACACTCCCAATACAACCAGTTTTGCTGTGCTAGTGTCTGTCTCAGCACTGGCATCGTTGGACCTCGTCTGACCTCCTGCATTAAAGGAGCAGTGTTAGCTCCAGACAGTCAGACATGAGAACTATGTAGAGGCTTTCCCAGCTCTCCTGGAGAACCCCAAAGGCCTTGTCATCATGGTGACAAATATACTCACACTGGAGGGGTTTGTTGAGGGCTCTGCCTCTCTCTGTTGCAACAATGAATGGAACAACTTTAGGTTGTTGCCCAAATCTAAGTTTTCTGTAGAAATACCCTCTGATTCTAATTCAGTAGTTGTAGGGTCTTGGGAGATTTTGGGAAAAGAATGCAGGGCCTATTTGTTCTGCCCAGGAGGTATGAAACCTGGCATTCTCTCCAGTTCTTGTGTTCACAACCTGTGAAACCTCGGGCAAGGCTTATAACCTGACTCCCCTTCGTTCTCCCCTCCAGCAAAGCAGAAGGGAGGAGTTTCCTCCTGCAGAGAGGTGGAAGGTCCCAGGACGTGGCGCAGGAGAGCAGGTCTGTTAGGAGGGCTGGAGGGTCAGCCTCTAACAGCAGAGCCAGCCTCGGGGGTGGGGGGAGGAGAGGGCCTTTACACAGCTGTGGTGTCCTTCACACTGCTGCAGATTCAGGTTCATGTAAAGTCTTTAAGAGTGGCAGAAGGAAAGTTGCCACTGCAGGTGTGGGTTTTCCCCATGGGTGCATCTCAGCTGGCAGCGGGAGTACAATAGTCTTGGCAAGAGCTAGAGGATGGAAGGTCTGTGTGACTCCTTTTGAGAAGAAGGGCAGCACAGGGGGAGGGTCAGAGCCCTCCTGACCCCACAGGTCAGCTCAGTCTTGCTCAGGAGCACTGATATGAGCAGTCCAGGGGGAAGTTAGAAAGAGAAGCCCACTGTCCCTTTGAAGATCCAGGTATCTGATAGCTAAGGTTAATGATAAATTGTTAGCATAGAATTACACAGGGTGTTGCACAGCACTATCTGACCCAGATGTAAATTAACTTGCACAAGAGAGGCATTGAAACTATACCTGCAATAATATACCCTGATATGATTCTGTTATCATCCTCCATCTGCTCTTATGCTGCCTCATGTCTTCTCAGCAAGTATTCTGTGGTAGTAGACAGCAGTGCAGGGGCTAGACAGAGCACCAGCTAATAGCTGAATTTATCAGCACGTTCTCTGAAACCAAAGTCAACCCTAATCTAAATTCACATCCACTTTTGCTGGTAGTGCTGACGTGTTCCGTATATTTAGGGCTCAAATTCATTTAGTTAAAATGTCAAGAGCTCTGTGTCCGCTTTTGTGGAACATGTGAGTTTCCTGTATTAAATTCCTCAGACTTTAGCAAGTTCATCTCTGCCTTAAAATGTTGAATAACTGATGTCAGTGCTGGCTTCTTCCTTTAGGTGGAGCGAAAGATGAAGGCGATGATGCTCAGGACCTCCGGAGAACAGAGTCAGACAGCATTTTAAAGAAGGTATGCCTTGATTTGTGTGTCTGCCACCACTGAGTTCAGATTTCAGGAGTGACAGCTCTAGCCTTAAAAAAATGCCTGAAAATTTCTTGACAATTAGATACATCCTAATAAGTTAAAAATAAAAGGTGAAATATGTACGCAAAACCACTGACTTGAAAACCACTGCAAATCAGTTGTACTCCTTAATGGCACAGGTTAGCTACCATCTGTCTGCATTAAATTTGTTTAATTCTGCATTGTTATTGAAATTCTAAGGTCAGCTACAACCTTGCACCCTTTCTTTCTGGGGATCGATCCATCACATAACTGCAAAATAATGCCTAATTAACATTTTATTCTAAATTATTCCAAATGGCCTAAAAACATGCATGAATTCTCCCAAAATGGAAGGTGGAGGGGAGTGTTTAATGGATGTGTCATTAGTTCAGCTTCAGAAGACATTTGCTATGATTTTTCATTGTCCTCATATTAAATTTGTGATCTTGTCATAGGGTGGAAATGCTAATTTGATGTTCATGCTGAAAAGGGATAACGAGGTAAGAATTGATTCCATTGCTCAGCTGTTCCCTTCATTTAAGTGGCTAGAGAATTTGTCTCAATAGGTGATAATGTAGAAGAAAACACATTTAATTTGCTGAAGCACAACTAGACTTTTAAATACATTAAGCTGAACCCACTGTGTCATTTATTTGTTTAACCTTGGATGTTTAGACAGAGAATTCACTGATTGTCATCTGCTTGCCAGCAAGATGATATGTGCTGATTATAAGCAGCAAGGGTTAATTACCACCAGGATGCACAGGGCTGTATTTATTGTGCATCTGCAGACAGATAGAGTTTAATTTTATGTTGCAGGTGCAGTGAATTGGGGCAATTAGGTTTCTATTCTCCCTTTGATACACATTCATAACTCCCAATTAGCATTAATGACAAAACGAGAAGCAGTTCTTAATACTGGCTATCACTCCACTACTGCAAATACTGAAGTGCTCTTTTTTCTTCTTGAAATTAATTGTAGGTTATGAGAGATTCAGAGAAATTTTTAGCTAGGCTAAATTTAGGGATAGAGCATAACTCCAGAGTTGCTTGCTCTGTATTGATGCATGAGGTGTTTGCATTTCTGTATTTTCAGAAAGCCTCCAAGAACACACCTTCTGCACTTGTGTTGCCTGCTGTAGTGCAGCTTTTCTGCCTGGTGGCAGTGGGTCTTGTATGGGTCACCTGGGGGAGAAGGGTGCAAATAGTCCATATCTATTTAAAGACTGATTTATTTTTTTCCTGAAATTTTTAAGTGAATTTTTGGGCTTCATCTCAATTAGTTAGCTTGTTCTTGAGCAAGCTGATGTTGTAGGAAATGGTTTGCAGAGGCAAACCAGGACTTCCCATGAGCTCAATGTTCCTTCTCCTGCTGCAGTGACAGCTAGGGAAGGGAGGAAGGCACTTCTGGGAGATGTTCAAGGGATCTGTTGGTGTACTGGGGACTGATGCAGTCATTGCAAGGGAAGAGTGAGGAAAAGCAGAGTGCAGAGGGATGGCTGTGCAGCTTGTCAGACCCACTGGTGGGACACAGAGCAAGAGAAGGTGCTGTCCACATACCCAGCACCCATTGAGATCTAACAGCAACGCTTCTGTTTTCTTGCAGCAGGTCCTCCAAACCATCACCAGCCTCCATAAGCTGCTCACTGCTTTGCAGGTAGGCTTAGCCTTTCATCCTGCTCCCACACACTGCTTTGCCTGAGCTGCTTGTTGTGCTTTGCCCCTTGTGTCATTGTGTCACAGCCCTGCACGGCTGGACACCCCACAAACAGCTTGCAGGCTCAGGGAATGAGCTGCTGCCCAAGGGAACCAGTGCTGGCCTGAATTTGGGAAGCTGCTGAGGGAGCTGCTTTGCCAGTGTTTTGCAGAGATAATCAAAACTCTCCACAACTCTTGTGAAAGTTGTACAGCCAATATGTTTATTACAGCGCTGGACACATGTAGGAATCATTCCCCTAAAATGACATGCATCCTTCTGGGGACTTCAGGTCCCATTTTATCCCCCTGTCAAATACATATGCATACAATTTCACAATAGGTTCACACATATTCATTTTTATGAATTTCGTGTGACATTTGCCGCTAGTTCTTCTTTATCAGAAAGAATTCCCAGATCAGGTTGACCTGCTCTCACAGCAGTCTCTGTCTCTATCACCCTCTGTCTCCCTCACCTTATCTCTGTTCTTCACTGAAGCAGTTTCTCTGAGCCTAGGTTCTGCAGTCAGGCTAAATAGCTATGTTTTCCAACCACAGACTCAACTCAAAAATGTACATTTCACCTAAATCAAAATGGATTTCTACTCTGGAAAATTTCTACTCTGCTTCATTAGCATGCTCTGGTAACCAGGCAGCAGCGCTGGGCTGGGATCAGAAGGGCTTCACTGCAGCACCCTGGGGTTTTCAGGGATGGGAGAGGATGCTGCAGTGATCTCTGTCCCCTCTGCCAGGGCGTGGTGCTGCAGCAGGACACCTACATCGAGGACCAGAAGCTGGCTCTGAGCGAGAGGGCTCCGAGCCGAGGCTCCTCCCGGCCCACCTCGCTGCTGGAGCAGGAGAAGCAGCGCAGCCTGGAGAAGCAGCGCCAGGAGCTGGCCAACCTCAAGAAGCAGCAGACGCAGCACCAGGAGGAGAGGAGGAGGAGGGAGAAGGAGTGGGAAGTGCGTGAGAAGGAGCTGGCGGAGCGCGAGGCCGAGCTGGCGCAGCGCGAGGAGCAGCTGCAGAGGCAGAGGCAGGAGCTGGAGCGCGAGCGGGAGGAGCTGCAGGTGAAGAAGGCGGCCTACCAGCTCGACCTGGAGAGGCTGCGCGCCGCCCAGAAGCAGCTGGAGAGGGAGAAGGTGCAGCTGAAGCAGGACGTGGAGAGATTCGCTCAGATGCGGCAGGAGCCTGACCACAACCAGGTAAATGATGCCAACAACCAGGCTCCTTGGGAAGCTAGGAACAGGGAGCTTCAGCCAGCTCCTAGGTGAGCTGCATGCCCCTCACAGCTGCCAGGTCTTTTGAGTAGAATCCTGCTAGAAATGGTGTTCCTATTAGAGGGAGGTTGCCAATGGTGAGGCATGCAGTGGTTGTGGGTAGTATTTTTTGGAGTCCTCCTATTTTTTGGATATCTTATTCGCCATTTAGGCTGTGGATGATGGAGCCTTAGCATAGGAAGAGCATGGCTTTGAGGAATGCATGGGTTGAGATGTGAAGGAAGGCTAGTTTGGGGAGGTTTAGTCCAGCAGTGTTTAAAATTGGTGTTTAAAACTGGCTCTTCCTTCGCATAGGATATGCAGTGCTGCTGGTTTTGCACCTCTGGAGCTGCTGAGGCATTGCCAGTTTTGGTGCTTCATGGTGTATTGGGGGTGCCTGGCCAGTGAGCTCTGCCCACTTCCCTGTCTGTGTTGGGGGATGGCAGACAGGAGGTGGCAGGCAGTCCCAGGGCATTGACACTGCCTGATGTTGGCCTTCACCCAGGAGCTGAGCTCTGGGGAACAGTCAGTCCTTCACAGAAACACCCTGAGTGTTGTGGGTCACCTGCAGCCTCAAAAATCACTTGTGAAGCTGATAACTCCAGGGCAAGTTCACATGCTGACATCCACCCCCAAAAGTGTTCTCAATATCCAGGAAAGAGATGGCATTGCCCCTGTCCTGAACGACCAAGCACCTGCAGTCCAGTTGTGGCTCAGTGAGCAAAGGTCCCCAGCTCTGCTGGAAGAGGCTTCTGGTGTCTGACTGCTCACAAGCACAAAGGAAAACTCACACACAGATCCTGGTTTGGGCATTTTCAGCAAGCTAAGGTTTATTCCTTTACAACTGTGCAGAGGAGAGCCAGCACCACTGGCAAAACATGGACTGAATTTAATCCTTAAGCCTGTTGATAATTTGTTTGTTTGTAAGTCACTAATTCTGACTTTAATTTGCTTAGAGCTGTAGCAGAGTTAGTTTATAAATGTTGGATTGCAGAATGGGAATGATTTTCGATGCCTGAACAGCCTAATGGTGGAGCTGAGCAGTGAGCTCTGAAAAACTCATCACCAAAGCAGGTCCTGCTCCCTCCCACCTGGCTCTTGATCAAGCCAGAAGTTTTCCAAGCAGCCAGTGAAGCTGTTCCAGCTCCAAGCACTTGCAGACAAGGGCCATGGGTGCTGTGGGAGAAGCTGAGAGGTAAAATGCCTGCAAGGCCTAAGGGATTTAGGAGAAGGAAGCACCTTCTCAAAGCAGGTATCTGACTGACATTGCAGAGCTATTAATAGAGTGTTCAGTCAAGCTTTGTTGGGCTTGTTTTGATCTTCCCTTTGAATGTGCAAGCTCAATTACATCCTGAGACAGCCGTTAAGGGAAAAAAAATCAGGAAAAATGCTTTTGCTTTCATCTTTTGCTTGGGAAGGCTTCCTTTGACACATGGGGCTGCTGTGCCGTGTGCTGGCGTTCCCTTCCCAGAGAGGCACGCTGCTCCTTGGCCTCCTGCCACCATCTGTGTGTGCAAACCATGCAGGGTGAGTCTTGCTATTGAGATCTTAGAGAATATTTGCCCTTGGCTTGTTGATACATAGCAGAGTGCATGTAGGAGCAAAAGATAGTGGAGTGTTACTCTTTTTGTGCCTCGTATTTTCATCTTGAACAGAGAGAGCTTTTCTCTCTTTACTTTGCCTGGATGGGGATGTTATTTTACCTGGCGAATGGGCTGGATGTTCACCCCTGTGAGTGGTCTTGACCCCCCCTTTTCTATCCTCTTTCATGAAACACTTTTTCTTCCTAGGTTTCAAATCTACATGAGAAACTTGCCAGAGTCTCCTCCCAGTCCAGCATTGACGAGTCCTCCATGCAGAAGAACCCTTCCCTTCCTAAACAAGGGCACTTTGATGCAGAACTGTCTGTCTCCCCCAAAAGGAACAGTCTTTCAAGGACACACAAAGAGAAAAGCACTTTCCATTTGCTTAGCACAACAAACCAGACTAACAAGGCAGCTGAGGAGCAGACCCAGATGCCTACTCGCCTCTTCAGTTTAGCCAAACCAAAGGAGAAGAAGGAAAAGAAGAAGAAGGGCAGGGGACATCGCTCCCAGCAGTCTGGTGAGTGTCAGGGGAGCTCACAGGTGTTTGTTCAGGGTTGGTAAGCTGGCTGTTTTCCTGCAGCCAGTGAACTTTTGTGGAAGCCACAAAATCTGGCTTGAAATGAGGATGGTGACACAGGGATGGGGAAGAGCAGCTGTGCTGAGTGGATTTCTCAGCCTGAAGTGATCTTCTGTGGGTGTTTCTGCCTGTTCTGCAGCCCCTGGGGTTGTCAGAGGGACACACATTCTTCTCATTGTTTCTTCCCTTCCCATCCCATCCTGAGCAGCCTCCATGGGCTGGATTATCTGTTTCAAGGAGGAAATGTTCTGCTTCAGTGTCAGTGCTTTCAGAAGGAGCTGCTGCTGGGATGCTCCTGGCTGTTGCAGCTCCTGAGGCATTGATGTCTGCTTTAGCTCTGTGGCAGTTTGGAAATGATACCCACAAGCCTTCTGCTGGCCTCTCCCCTCAAGCTGGTCTGTTTTGTCTCTTGATCTGAAACAAAAACATACAGGGTTTGTTTTTTTTTTTTTGCCTGATAGTTTTGCATCCCCTTAGGACTCAGAGCTGCACCTCAAACCTCTGACCCACATGAAATTTGATCACTTGCCCTTGGATGACCGCTTTCATTCATGCTAGCTCACTGATGTTTTCCAGCTTGTGTACAGGAAATCTCACCCATTACAAGGTGTAATTTCATGGTAGCTCATCAGGGACCTGAACATCTTTTCAGGGGCCTGGTGGATTTGGCAGATAGTGGGATGTCTGTGCACACAGAGCCCCACTCTGCCTGCTGTGTCCCTCTGTTCCCATAGTGATTCCCACATGCTGTTTTTACAGATTCTCACTCATCAGAAGCACCTGCAGAGGGTGAGGAGATCTTCTGCTGAGCATGGACTGTTCCAGTGGTGGCACTGGCACCGTGGACATCTCCCTGCCTGTGACACAGCCTGCGGCTGGTGCCTGCGCTGGACGAGCATCTGGAGGTTTTAAACAAAAAAAAAAGTTCTGAAGTCTGCTAAGTGGTGGATAAGGGCCTCTCTCCTGTGGTTCTAGGTGAATTCTCCCTGCAGAGGCTGTGCATCTCCCTGTGCAAACCTGGGGTCAAACGGATTGGGATAGATGTCTGTCTCTACTTACTGCTAAAGAACGTAGCCTTAAGGGGTCTGTGCCTTCAAATTCCCCTTTTCTGGGGAAAAGAACCAAAACCAATCATTTAGCAAAAGATTAGGACTCTACAAATGGTGCATACACACTGGCATATATAGATATCCTGTATATGTACATCTGTGTATCTATGTATCCACTGGGATATGCTTACAGTCCCTACAGCCAAGGTCCACCCGTGGGGATGGATGATACCTGAGGACTTTCAGGGAGTGTGTAGATATTAAATATCTTGCCCTTACTGCTCTTGCTGTAACACAGTGACCTGCACACCCCTTTTGTGCTGATGGGACAGGGGATGTTTGCTTTCAGAAGGGTGCATTACACCAGGAAGCAGTAACAGCATTCAGAAGCAACAACTCAGAGGATAAAAATTAAAATTTAAAATCATTCTGAATGACTTCTGTGGGACAGAGGAATCAAATGTCAAACTGTTTCTAGAGTCGAGCAGAACATTATTGGGTAGATTTAAAATGGCACAGAAAAGAGAATTTTGGTAGGCTGGTAAGGCAATCCCAGGGAGCCAGAACAGGCTGTTCAAATGGAAACAACAGTAAGCAACATTTTTTTTACACAATCTCTTTGAGCTCCAGCTCACTTCCTCCCATCCCCAAAGTAAAAATTATGTTTTTGCCAGAATAGAGCTCTCCAGTTGCATTTGACATCCCCATAGAAGGCTAATGACTGAGGGGGGGAGTGGCTAAAAATCTGCTTTTATGGATCTTTGTTCAGTTCTTCGTGTTTTTCTTAGCCTGCTTTTTGTGCTGCTGTTGGGCTTCTGTTTGTCTGGATTTTCCCACTTGCCCTGCTGGTTTCTGAGGCAGAGTGAGAGCAGCAGTGTCTGGGCAGGTCAGGGAGACAGGGCAGGCTCCAGGGAGGTGGCTCCTGTCCCCGTGGCTGTGCAATACCGGGCACTTGGGAACCATTTCTGGGGAGAAGAAGGTTCTGATGGACAAACCCCCTGTGGGACAGGTCTGGAGGCCAGCGTGGTGTGTCCCCATGGCCTCTGGGGTGGTGTCTGTGCAGAACAGGAAGGTCCAAGGGCAGCTCTTGCTGTGCCAGCTGTGAGGTGTCTGCAGAGTTGTGGAATATAGGCATGTGTTCAGTGGGGGAGGAGAAATGCAACAAGATATTCTTTTCTCAAAAATTACCTTTCTTCCAAACCCTGTCAGGAGAATTACCCAAGTGGATTTGTAAATGGTTACCAGCTTCAGAATAGGTCAAGGATTTGCTCAAGAGTTTGAAGCTGTCATGTACATTTCCTTTCCTACTAGTTTGTTTTGTTTTCTTTGAAATGACAAATAATTTCTCTTCTTGTACTATTGTTTGATTTCAGTTTACTCTCAGGCTTGTCATGAGCTGGTGACCCACAGCAATTTTCAGAGTTAGTGCTGATGAGTATCAGCAGCATTGATGGTGAGGTGGATGCTTGGGCTGGGCTGTCTTGGTGCAGGAACCCTGCTTGTTTGGAAGCTCTCTACACTATTAAAACTCAAAAGAAAAAGAGAAAAAAAATAGGAAAAAGGGTTGAGATTTATTTTTATTTTTTTTTTAACTATTATTTGGTGCTTGTTCTTAATTGCAAGCAGGGCTTGCAAAAATATTTATCTTTCATTTTATCTGAAAGAGTTTTTTTAAAAAGTTTACTTGGTTTTATTTTTTTATTTCTTTTTGCTTTTGTTTGGGGAATAGTTTGAGGGGTTTTTTTCTCTTCCCCCCCCTTTATTTTTTTTGTTTGTTTATCTGTTCTGTTTTCTTACCAAAAGATTGGTAAACCAAACGTTCTCATCTCCCTGTTTCCTACAAACCATGGGGCTGGGCAGTGCTGCATTGCAGCTCATTCCATGCCCAAAGTCACACAATTTTCAGCTGAGAGCTTTCTTCAAGGCAGAGCATCTTCAGGCCAAAAAAAGTCTGGAAAAAGACAACAATGACTTCAGACGAGGCTCCTCCTGTCAGTCAGTTTCCATGTTTAAATGTTTTGGTTAGATTTTGTCATTCCCTTTGGAGGCAAAGGAAAAAGCAAAGCATAGAGTGCCTTGCAGTGTAGTTGCTCTCCAGGACCCCAGGGGTGCTGAAGGAGGCACATGCTGGTGGTGTGGAGTTACCTTTTTCATAAGAAAACCACCAACTTCAGAAAGTAACTTCTGCCCTGCTGTTCATACCTCTGCAAACACGAAAGGGCTGAGATGAAATATCTGGAAACCAAAGCTCATGTGCTGCTGTGTGAGCAGAGATCAGGGCACTGGTACCTCCAAGTTCCCTCAGTGTGGAACAGCCTTTGCCACTATGAACTTCTCAGTTTACCCCCCTGTCTTTTCCCCAGTCCCAGCACATGCTGTATTCACAGCACAGCCGTGTCCCATGGCTCTGAGAAGGGCACCAAAAGGCACATGAGTGACCCAGGGCAGCAGGGTTGACTCTGCCTGGCTTCACCATCTCTCCTGACCTGTGCAAATCAAAAAGAGCATTCAGTGTCTGAAATGCCAATACAATTGGCTAAGGGATCTCCCAAGGTCCCTGTGGTTCCTTGACAGAAACCACAGGTGTGAGTCAGAAACACACTGACCAGAAATCCTGTGTACAAAGCTGTTTGTGTCTTAAATTCTGGTGGACAGACCTTTGTCCCTGGAGGATGGTTGTTACTCTATGATTCACTTTTTTGGAATGAAACCTCTCCTCCCACACTGCTTCCTCCTTCTTTCACCTTTAGGAAGGTAAGGGCTTGTTTTTATCTCTTTAGCTTTTATTTTTCCCATCTCAGGTTTTCTTTGGAAAGCCTTGGCATAGATTCCCAGAGTCAGATTGCTGCTCTGATCCCTGAAGGTTGTCTAGCATTGTCTGCTAGAGTATTGCCCCAGCTTGACAGCACCAAAACCTTTCTTCTTCCTGGCCTTAAAATTGCATTTGCTCCAGTTCCATGCCTGGCATCCATCCTGCAGTTGTTGAAAGCATGTTATTTCTTCAGCCCAGCCTGCTGCCAGTCCCTAGATCCCATTTGGAGCACCCAAACCATTCTGTTTTGCATGGGGTTCCTGGGACTCAGAATAGGTTCAAAACCATGTTTGAAGCCTGTGTTGTTGGAAGAGAAGAGGATCCTGTGAAGGCTCTTGGAGCTGTTTGTGCTGGTGTTTCCTGGAGGGCAGAAATCAGAATCAGTTTTCTTGAGCTCTTCTTGGCCTGGTCTTTGCCACTGCCCAACAGGAGGGGTTTCAGTGTGCAGGGAAAGTGAGAGTGTGGGCTCAGACAGGTACAGGAGTGGCCAGCATTAGCTGGGGGTGCCAGAACACCCAGCAGCAGAGAGTAGCTATAGCAAAGGGTGGGAGACTCCATGGGACTGTGTGGGCTTGGCCTTAGATTCCTTTAAATGAAGTGATCATCTCAAAACATAACTTGATGTCAGTTTGATGCCATAAAGCACTTTAAATGGAACTGGTCTTGCCCCCTTTAATTATGGTTATTTGGAGACAATCAGTTTTGCCATTGCTTCCCCCTCTGTATCCCCAGCAAAATCAGAGCTTCAAATAGGCGTGTTCCTGGTTTGGTTTGGCTTTTCCCCCAGAGGGGAGGAAGGGCCAAGCTTTTTGTATTATTTTTAGACCAAAGTGGGTGTGAATCTGTCTAATCTACAGTCTCACTGCAGATAGGTTAAGTGGCAGGACAAGAGAACTGGCTTCTGTTGGCTCAGGTACATCCCCCAGGAGAGCTTCACCATCACCTTCCTCAGGGCAGGTAGGGAAGCAGCCCCCACAGTGGTTTTCCCTCCATCTCCTTTTCCTTGGAGAAACTCAGAGTGAAGGAGATGTGAGGGGATGCATCCAAATAAGTGAGGCCCTTTCCATGCACCAAGGTGTTTACTGGCCACTGTTCACCTCCCTGGGACAGGATCTGTCATCCCCACTGAGGGTGGACTCTTCCTTCCCTCTGGAGGTGTGGCAGCACAGTGATGCCATCAGCTTGTGTGGGTTTGCATCCAGAGAGTCCAATCACCTTTGCACCTTCCCTTGAGTCACTAGGAGACATCACAGCTGTTGCTGAAACACCCAATTCCAGTCCTTCCACATGCCACCTAGTCACAACAGGTTCTTCAGGTGCCAAATCCCAAGGAAGCTGTCTAGGATATCTATGGCATGGAGCAAGGGAGGACTGGGCAGGGGGCACAGGAGAGTATCTGCTAAAATCCCACAAAACATTCCTTGTTAACCAGAACTCTGGAAATTATTGTGCCTGCTGGCCAGGTTTGGGAATTTATCATGATTTAGGGCACCCCTTTAAATAAAAAACCTCCCCTGCTGCTCATAACTCTTGCCTCATTTGTCAGAAGGGGCAGCGATCCACAATTCTTCATTGGTGATACAGCTAATTTTTAATTGTAGGCGAGCTGAACTGGCCAAATCTCCTACACCTTGTGCTCTTCGGTCATGAGAAGTGTAACACCACCTCCCTTCACACCTGCATTTCCAGGGCTCTGTGCCCTTTCCTTCCACATGCATTTCACTGACACTGATGCTTTGCCCAAATATAGTTCAGCTTCCATTGCTAGGGGGGAGGGGGGAACAGGATAACACTCACTGCTTTGCATACAGCTATGAGCTTTGTATGTATTTAAGCTGTCTGTAGGTATCCATCCTTTCCATGCTGTAAAGTAATGCTACTATTTTCTTTATCAATATTAAACACTGCCTCAAGAAAAAAATGAAATAAAAATCTCTGTCCAGTTCAGTTCGCCTATGGTTAAAGTTTAGCCTGGTGTTTATTTTGTACTAATATGGAATGCACTTGAGTAATTCCCAGAACATTGAGGTGTATTGTAATAACCTGATATACCTCTGTTTTTGGTTTGTTTCTTATTAAAAAAAAAAAGGAAAAAAAAAAAGCTTTGCGTTTTCATGTTGAACCCGTAAAGAAAAAAAGTTGGGAAAAAAGGATTTTTAAACAAGAGGGTGAAACCTAATTGCTGTATGTTAATTTGTAATTATGTAAAAAGTGAGCAGATTGTTGACTGTAAAATTCTTCAGTTTTTCTGTAACTTGCCAGAACCAACAAAGTTTTGTAACAAGCTTTTATTTATCTTCCTTTTTAGTTATCAGTATCAACCTCTTGTAAAGTCATTCTTCCTCTAAATAAATTTGATTTTAAGTCTTGAGTTTTCTGCCTGATTTATTCCCACACCTCTGGTATTTTTGCTGATGACTTTTTTGCACCAAGGCTGAATGAAGAGCCTTAACCTTCACCTGTAATCAAATGTTTGTATTGCCTTTATCCTCCCCATTCCAGTTGGAACCCACTGGACTCTTTATTTTCCTTCCCTTACAAGATTTGGATTTTACTGAAGGCCTGATGGCTCTGTGATATTCCTTGGGTTTTCCTCCTCCCCACACACAGGGCTTTTCATCCTTGTACAAGAAGGGGAAGTGGCACAGAGTTCCTGTAAGCCCCTAACACAGCTCAGTGTCTTTAATAAATCCTAGACAGAGAAGGTTTTGGTTCTTTCAGCTTAGAGAACCAGAGATGCTGCATCTAATCACAGAAAAAGGTCCACAATGCTGTGTGGTTTAGGTGTTCCCTTGTCTCCTGTAAGAAGAGATTCATCAGAAATGCTGTACCCAGCATCCAGGTCTCCCCTGGGGAGGTGTTGTAAGGAAGAAAAGTCTTCCCTGTGAGGGTGTGAGGCACTGGAACAGGTGCCCAGAGAAGCTGTGGATGCCCCATCCCTGGAAGTGTTCAAGGCCAGGTCAGACATGGCTTGGAGCAACCTGGTCTAGTGGAAAATACCTTGCCTGTGGCAGGGGTGGTGGAAAAATGATCTTTAAGTTCCCTTCCAACCCAAACTATTCTGTGATTCCACGATAAGGTACATGGTGTTCCCAGTGCCTGCAGGCATGGGCCCAGGCAGGAGAGGGTGCCAGAAGTACAGAACCATGACAATGAGGAGTCATGGAGGACCTCAATGCTGGGGTTTCCCCACCACCATTTTCTGCTGGATTATAGAAGTGATCACTGCTGGCCCTGTCCTGCCAGTCCTGCACAGGAGGAACTCCAGCATCCTCTCCCCAGGCAGGAGAAGCAAGAGACCTGCACCCTTCACCCCCCTGTATTGATTTTGAGGCAGAGGAATTGCTTCATTTCCATTTGTTACTCCACTTCAAGGGTATGATTGGGAAGGAGAAAATACCACTTGAGAAGAATCAGAAATATATTCATAGAATCAGGATAACCTGAGTTGGAAGGAACTCACAAAAAGCACCAAGTTTGACTGGGAAGGAGAAAGGACTGCTTGAGGAGAATCAGAAATGTATTCATAGAATCAGAATAACCTGACTTGGAAGAGACCCACAAAAAGCTGCTGAGCAGGCACAAGACAGCCCCAAGTATCAAGTATTGATCAAAGCTCTGGGGTGCCAGCTGCTTGGGGTGTTGTGCTGTTCCTCAGCAGGTGTCAGGGCACGCCAGCCCCGTTAGGCAGCAGTGCACTCCCTGCCTGGT